GAGCGCCAGTTCCGCTCTCAGCAGGATCGCCCGCAGCTCAGCCTCCAGCGAGTCAAGCCCCGGTGGAAGCCGGGCCGGGGCGGTAGTATCGCTCAATTTTAGGAAGAACAATCGAGTGTACACATGGTAGGCACTAAACTATCTGATGAAGAGTGCCGTCCAGGTACGTGACTGGCGTCTGGAAACTCAGAGAATTTCTAAACCTTTGCGCTGCTAGAATGTTATACTTATGCAGTACTATTGCCTATTGATTCGCCATACGTTTCAGTAAGGTTAGTTTGTCTGTGAAGTCCAGAAGCCTTTAGAATTAACGGTCGAATTTATCCAGAAGTTGGACGGCCCAGTCTGCTGGAAACTCTCGATTCCAGATGTAGAAACATGAAGAATGTATTCAAATTTGGTTATACACTCTCGTACATCTAGGCTATTGTTGTCTTCGCTTTCGGTTTCTTATAGTCCAAATAATGTTAAGCTATCTTTTTCAACTTTGGGTTTCAAATTCGTCCATCTTTTTTCTAGAGAGCAGATAGTATTCTCAAGTTTTTCGAGCTCGCTACTTTGCTCTTTCAAAACGATTTTGAACATGATCAACATCTTAACTCTCAGCGTCCATTGCATTCAATGTACTACGGGTTGCTTTTTGGCTTGATTTATTTTTCTTTATGTCGCTACCATTAAAGGGATACTGAAGCGAAACTTGAAATACACCTATTTTGGTCAGAAATAGGTTCAATATGATCAATGATATTCATAAATCATAATCGCGCGTTTGTATTTTGAACTGATGGCTATATTTTTCACCCTAAAGGGCCCGATTGGGCGCGCGCTCAAAAATCGGCCATCGGAGAGCGCGATGCGTCTTGGGATATTGGGCGCATTCGTGACGTCACTTGTGCCAGACGGGAAAGGCTACGGCGTGATTGTTGTGGTTACGAGTGTTGCCACTTGGTGGCGCGTCGACGATTTACGACCTGTGACAACGTGGCCGTTTGAGATGTGCAAGGGCTGCACGCACGCTGCACCACGGCAAGTCGGCAACCACGGCAGCACTGACAAAGCCAGCTCTGAGGCCGGATTCTCAAAGCGAACTCACGACGAAAAAAGTGCGTACGACAAATTTGAGAGAAAACCCGTACTCTCGAAACGAAATTGTCGCAACTTTTGCGCAGGTTACGACAGAATCCTACGACAGCTCCGAAGCTGTCTTACGCACTTTTTACGATCAAATCAACAAGGCCGACAGCGTCGCTCAGCTACTTGGTAGCGGCCACCAACGGACATTTATTTTTCTACGTGCTCTTCTCGTGCGTCCCGACTTCAACCAGCAAGGAAAAATGAAGGAGTACTTAAAACAGACCACGACGATCAAGAACGCAGGATCCACAAACACACGAGAAGAGCTACAACTGCTACAACGGCCACGATTCTGCCGACCGAGCGAGCTCGGCAGAATATAGTAGGCCTAGCAGCAACATCGACTCGGCGCACCGTTGCTCCGGCGGTCCTTGGCCAAGACCGTCTGTCCATGACCGGCTGACCCGCTGAATGAAATATGCCCGCGCGACCCTTGTGGACCCTTACCGGATGAGTAGTTTGATCCCTGAACTAAATTTTAGAGGTCAATATTTTCCCCTTGTCATCTCGATCTCCTTGTTTTCCGAGACCGCAGTGACGAACGCTGTCGTCGAAAAGCGACTCTCATTGATTCTATCTCCTTGTTTTGTATGATATAGAGCTCAAATAAACGCCATACGGATTACCTTCGCAACTCGGTATGTACACTCTGTTATTAGTATGCTATTTTTATTCTGACATGACGCTACGTCACTGTCGAGCTATAGCAGTTCGTGGGAGCTACGCGATGTCGGTCTAACCTTTCTTTGCCGAGTGTCATGTCAGTATCGCGTTGCAATTGTAAAAGATCGGTCCAGAAGCGCTTACCGAGACGCGGTCTAACAGAGCGAATCCAGCACTTCGATCAAACGCGCGTGTCCGCTCCGAGTGTGAACAGGTATTTTCGTGGCTCTTGCTGACACCCTTGTAGTTCAAACATATCCTTTTTAACGTCGGCTCGCAGCTCGCGACTCGCAGCAACTAATACCGGCCGTGCCAGAAGCATGCTCGGGTCGTGTCGTGCAAAGAGCCGCAACGAGAACGAGCTCACTGTGGCCAACTACACTTTGGCTTTCTCCGCCAAGGCTTTGCAAACGCGTTCAGGCCTAGGCGAATTATGCCGGCACGCCGTATTGCCGCAGAACGGTGCTGGTCCTAAGCCGCAAGTGATGTCACGAGAACTTCCCCCCTTCCACCAGATGAGAATTTGAAATCGTTTAATTATGTTTAAAATTAGTTCTCCTGTGTTTTACAGCGCGATATTTATATTTCCGAGGTGGTGCCTGTCCCTAGCCCATATTTATGCAACAAGATGGGCGCTAAAATTTCGTTTCACTACCCCTTTAACAGCAAGTGTTTTTCTTTATTGTCTCTATGCCGATACGACCTGGGTTAAGATCGATGTCTCCGCACAACACAAGCCAGCGTTTTAGCATCAGTGAGATATTGCAAAAAAAAAAAAAAAAATATATATATATATATATATATATATACATATATTTAAATTTACCAATTTAAGAAGAAAACATTTCCCCATAACTCTCTAATACTACTTTGTAAATAGAGGGCATCGCTCAATAACTCTAGGTGAAAAGCAGCACTCAACTTGCCATCTCCGCGGTCACCGATTCGGCTGCCGTTGCGGGCATGAAGGAGGAAGTTGTGGTACCCCTTTTTAAATCGCCACCAGACCGCGCTGCGTGCGAATCCGTGAAATGAAGGAACGGGAGCACCCTCCTTCCCTTCCGATGGTGACAAGAAAAAAAAAATATTTTCTACAATTCCATTTTTTGAGTAGGGAGAAAGAAAGAGAGCTTCAGCTGCGAAACCTAGGAATAATATGTCCTTAATCCCCACCCCTGCGCAAAGCCCCTCAATGTGTTTGCGTTTGTCTTCCAAGAAGCGCCAAAAGGGCCAGTGCACAAGGCCCGTGTCAGGAGTGGCCCTTGGAAGCAGATGGCGGCGCTAGGGTGTATAGATATACACACAACCAATGGAGTTCTAGGGTGTATAAATATACACACAACCTTTTCTTCTTTTTTTTTTTTTTTTGAAGCGAGTGGTGGCAGAGCAGCCACTCGTGGCATGTGTCTTGCGAGTTTGTACAACAATGGTGAGCGGTACTTGAAAACGTGAATTTTATCAAAGGGCTCTGCTCCTGCCCGTTCCCATCTGGGTAGCATCGCACCCGATTGCGATCGGATATAACCACTAGATAACGATGTTAGGAACCATAGGCTAGCAATCACACTGCTCTGGACAAATTGCGGATCTAGTGCAGAGACACGAGGCGTTCATTGAGGGTTACTTACCTGTACAGACAATACAATTACTGACTATAATTCGTTTTATACTCAGTGTACAACGTTAGCAATACTACTTGATCAAGCACGTGGCTCCACGAGGCGTGTTATTAGAGCTAGAGCACGGCCAAAATAACTTCAAACTGCTGGAAACGCCTCACGCCATTTCCAGCAGCTCTGATAGTTGAGTACAGTAACTATGAAACGGAGTTAATCCTTACCAGGGAGACAGAAATAAATGTAGCGCTGCAGCCTCAGTCTAGATCATCTCAGTCGGTGGCTTTGTCGTTTTTTTCAAAACGAACGGCATTATAGCCGAGTGGTCGTGTATTCAAAGAATACCGCATTGTGCTTCTTAAAGTTCCTAAGTTATCACTTGTAGCGATTTGTTTAGTACCGGAAATTTCGTTCACCCTTGCCTTAACCACCGCTCAAGTGTCTCGCAATATTGTTAAACAAAAACATTCCAAGGACACCTAAGCACTTATTATGGTTTGTGAATGTGAGAGCATGAATGCCGCTCTTCCCTTTCCTTAGTTCGTCTGCGGTTTATTGGCGTGGACGGCCACATTTCGCTACAGCTGAGGGTTGCAGCCTCCCACGATGCAGATGCCTCCGGCGCTGCCATGTTCCTCGGTGCCGAGAGGAGAAGTAGCGGCCGCAGCCCCCTCCCCCCTCCGGGAAACGCCTGACACGAGTGCGGCGGCCGACCGTGCGCTCTCGTCAAGCGGCCGCCAATGGCTATCGAGGAGCCGTTTCGGTCAGTCAATGGGAGAATGGGCATTTCTTTCGCGTTCTTTCGCGGTGCACAAGCCGCCTCCTCCGCACCGTGGTATAGTTGATGCTCTCGCATGAACGAAAAAAAAATAAATACGTGTGATCTGTGTCATCAGAACGTGCAGCGCCTCGGCTGTTGCCTCAGTTAACCTACAGAACACAAGAAAAAGTAGTAGTTTCTAATTTTCACCTTCCAGTTTTTGTTAAGTGGGAATCTTTCTATAGCTTGTCCCAAAAAATTAAGGAACTTTCAGTTCCTAATTTTTGATTAACAGTGACGTATGCTATAAATGCAGCAACACCGTTTTTTTTTTGCTGTTGCTGTTGTTTGGTTTAGACTGTGGCGTGTTCTAGATGCAGTGTAAGTATTTTGGTTAAGAACTTTGTCATTTGAACAGAAAACCGCAGAAACGTCGACAAGAGATTATATTGAATCGGGACCTATTTAAGCCAAATGAGACCATGAGACGTTTATATAAACTTACCTCACACACGATTGTTATGTGGCGCTGTAGCTCCAGAAGTAGCGATTTGTGTTTTGTAATTGGTAGAAATATAGCTATACCAGTTTTGTGCGAAGTCTGCCATTACTTTATTTCGGTAATTTCCGTGGATATGTCTAAGGAACCGCAATTTATTTGTTGGAAGAAGTGACCTCTGTTTTACCTTCAGATTAATCTGTACGCATCTTGTCCCCATGACTGACAATACCATCACCGTATTGTAGTGCACACTCTTGTTATGTTTGTTGAATGTGGCCCTTTTAGGAAGACGTGGAGGTAGCGCTGGCCTTGATGTTTGGTCCATCTACTTCTTGACGCATTTTTGCTTCAAACAATGCTGGAACATCAAAAGAATTAGCTTTTTAATTGAAACTGGAAGGAATTGACTTGAACTTGCTTCGGCGGTCGCCGTGTTGCTCGCCGCTGTAAGGTAAACACATGGTAACCTAACTATAAAAGCCTAAGTTAGGTTACTAAGGTGGTAACGCAGCGTGCAATAGGAGTAATTTTTTTTTGTTTCTGACTTTGATCGGTTGAATAATGTTGAAGCAGAAATGACTTTCCATTATCGTCTGAAAAAGAAATTGTTGACAAAGCGGAGTTTTCAGGGTATGCTGAAATTTATACGAAAGCGAATGATGGCAACATAGCATCATGGACTTTCGACTGTAGGGCTCCACGCAATACAATGCCGGCCTCACCTGCCGTTGGTAAGCTTGTAAGCGTTATACTACAAGGTTCTGAAGGTAGACGAAATACCTCATGTTTTTTTTTATGGAATTAGGCCACTTTGCCCAACTCTGAAACAAGGTCAATTTTGGGGGGAAGTGTTATCATTCGTAAACATTGCCCCTTCCCATTTATAAATCAGTTTTTGATATATATGAGGATAGACTTACACGCTCATCATCAATCCGTTCTGATAACAATAGAGAATTCGTGTGAAGACAACCAATCTGACTTTTTTTAAATTAGTAGTTTTCTGGTTGTTACCAAATATTGAAGGAAACATTTTTTAAATATTTTTGTCAGGTTTATTTCTTCCGGATTCAAATTTTGTGGTGTTTATTATCTTAAAATGCACTACTTTCGGAGGCTCTTGCTAGGAGTTTTGGACGAGAACACATGTTAGCTGGTGTTATTTCGTATCTCACGGAAGAAAGAAACGGCACACCGTTAAGTTGCATCGGCACCCTTCCTCACCTTTTATTTAGTTTCGCTACGGTGCTCGAAACACATCTCCGACTGGTGTGTTTACCGCGCCTAAAAAAGTGGTATCTCGATTTTCTCCCGATTACGTCATAAGTGCGTCATGCTGTTGCCGGCCGCAATCCTGGAGGTGTCCCAGCATCGGTGGTGCATGCGGCAGACGCCTGTGCCGCTGCACTGCGCCAGTTAACGGAAGCTTCGGCAGCCAGAAGTTGGGACGCCGCGGCGAGAGCGACACTCACGTTCGCTCGTTCTTTTCGCCAGCAGGTTTGCGACGCCCAACAGCATGACACGCCGGCCTCTATGACGTCATTTGTTGCCACTTCGGAATTACTTTTGCCGTAGGCTCAGACTGGTACGCCAAACACACCATCTGGAGGCGCGCTCTAGGCACCTTAATTGCGGGATAGCTGGGCCGTGATTATTCGAAGCGCTAAGATCGTCTGCGACTTTTGCAGGAGTTGAGGTGACGTTAAAACGCCGAGCTCTGATTGGTTCTGATTGTATGACAGTGGGTGTCGACCTCAAATCATATTGCCTTGAGATCACCCACTATCCTTAAATCAGAGGCAATCGGAGCTCGGCGTTGTGACCTAAACTCAACCCCTGCGATAGAAGCAGAAGAAGTCGCTCTCTGCATAGGCTGCGAAATCCATGTCGTCACGCAGACAGCCGGGGCGGAAGAAAACTCTTTTTGGACCTTCTGTGTTATTTCTTGATCCGAATTCGATTTCGTTTAAGTCGCCAGTAGTTCGTGATACAAGTTGGAAAAAAGTAAAACTTACATGTCCGTCTTTGCATTGCATTCCGTCCACAAGCACAACTTCCATGCACGTGCCGAAACGTTCAGAACAGCACCATGTGTAGCACTCAGAGGGTTTCCGGTCTTTCTGTGGACAAGACAGGTTGACGCATACTTTTGTGACCGGGGTACGAACGCGTATGCTGATGTTCTCATCCGGTACCTTTCGTGACACAAAAGAAAAGTAGCCTCGCAATGCATTGATGTTAATATTTTCTTTGCGGCAAAAGCACAAATAAAGTTCCGCACTTTTCGACTGAGAAACCGCTCTCTGACCTGGCCTAAGCTCTGCCTCGCTGGACACATTGGTACCCGAGGTCGGGATACTGTTTTTAGGTCTTCTGAGCCTTATTTAAAATTAGAGGATGTGCGTGTTTTCAAGATATTGAAATGCTGCTCTTGAGATTTTTATGTTCGTGACTTATAATACGGTGAGTAAGATGCAATATTATACATATGAATTCTGTTGGGCATAGTCGGGAGTAATAGCACCGCAAAATGTCCCCTCTCCTTAACGGGCAAAATGCACCGAACGACGTCAAGAAGGCAAAGCCGTACTACTCTGAAGAGCCCAGCTTTAGTCGTATACATTTATGCATAATTCTCCTGTAAGACGAGCTAATTTACTATACTTCAACCGCGTGCACTTCAGCTCCCCGAATGTAATTTCAGGTGTTTCGGTGCCGCACTGAAAAAAAAAAAAAAAATTGCCACGCGAAAGCATAAAAAGAAAAAAAAACGGTGAGACAAGTACTATTATACATTTCAAGCATTGAAGCCAAGTTATTAATGTCTCTGAAATGTTTTATACTTTCAAAACAAGACACGTTACAAAATAAGTCTACGTTAATGATGTTTGCACCAAGTGGATGCTTCTGGTGGATCCTCACTGGAAGAATCAGATCTAAATTTGGCGTTACGCTTCATCCTACGGAGGTCTGCGAGGAAGCCCTCACGATGCCTCCTTAAACCATTCGGATCGGGTTTTCTCATAGAGAAGTGGTTCTCAAATGTGGTTCCGCGGACTCTCTGAGTTCCGCGAAGCCCTGCGTCATCAGTCAAGCCTGGCAATAAGGTTTTTTTTTTTTAAAGTCGAGAAGATAGGTTAAGGTAGGGTTATTTTTGTTTTAGGACGAGTTTTCTCGTGTGTATGGAAGTAGGTTCTATTCTTCTCTGCTAAGATAGCATTGAAATCACTTAATTTTCGTCGCCTCTAAGGTCTTCACCTTGGCGATCATCTTGGTAATGATCGAGCCTGAACTTTCAGGCTAAGCCCATTCTGCTATTATTACTCATCTCTCTTTCCTCTCTTTCATTTTTTTTTTAAATTAATTATAGAAAACAAATTATGCTACGCATTTCTATGCTGTTTTCTTTTATCCTTGAATCGCTTCTAAGCAGTAGATCGAGTGAAAGGAGTTTGTCAAACTCACTTGGAGTCGAGTATGTTTCTCAGAAAGAAGCCGTGTGGCTCACTATTCAAATGACATTATAGGCGAAGTGCGCTCGGTTGGAGTGCAATAAGCTCGTTTCACAGAGGTATTATATGTTCATGTGCGCTACTGCATTTATCCGTACTTTTTATTGGAAAATACAATGTCACAATTGGAGTAAGGTGACCCCGTAACCCTCCTTCATGTAATACAAGGAGTACAGTCGTAACATGTTTCGTGCAAAAATGGTGCCGCGAAGGTGCACGTACGAGTGCCGGAATCTCATTATTATAGTGCGGCATCTTAATCTACACTCCGAGAAATCTGGAGAAGCTACTTCCCCGCCCGTAATTCGGGACGTCCGCTGCAATCTACAAAGTGATTTTGGCAAAGGAAAAGGGTAATCAAAAGCTTAGACCGGAAAAAAGGAATAGGCTGTGACATTTAACATGATGAAACATGATGCTCAGCATTACAACGGAAGCTATTTGTTAGGTATAAGCCGTGTCCAGCCTTGTCATTTTCAAAGGTCGACTGCAGCGAGTGGCTTTCCAGAGTGCTTTGCGGGAAAGTAGACGTTCCAGGGTTCTTAGAGTGTACAATGCTGCACAATGTCGCTATTTGTTTTTTTCTTGCTTAAGATATGTTTGAACCTCGATCGCCATGCCTTGGGACTTAGCTAAAAATAAGCCCCTGTTCGCGTTGAAAGCAGGGAAAGCGCACAATAAAGACGAATACGAAGACGGAGAGGCAAACAGGACGAGCGTTGCCTCTCCGTCTTCGTATTCGGCTTTATTGTGCGCTTTCACTACTTTCAACATGCATAACCAACTCGCCTGCATCGCCACATTAGTACACCTGTTCACGTGTTAGACTCGAAAAGAAAAATATTCCACAAAGTTCGGCTGTTAACATCATGTGTGAGAGACTCGGGCTCGGAAATAAAAAAAAAAAACAAAAAAAAAACAGAGGTACATATACCATAAGGTCTGCATTTAAATACTTGCCTTTATGTTGGTTGCTGCGCGCTTGATATTAGCTACAGAACACCTTGAAGCTCTTGCTTGGCTACATAGACCAGATTCCACCACCTTCAATGGTACTATATATTTGCTTATTGTCAAACCTGAGTGAAACATAAGGTCTTGCCTATTGTTTAATAACTTCAATATTCTTTATTACAACTGAAATTAGAGCCGATTATAAATTGTGGTGGGGCCATTTTTATGCCGCGTTTATTTGACACATAGACGTTAATTGTGTCCAGTGAAGACGACTAACGCCATAATCATATTGAAAGAGCGCGACTATTGACATGAACCAAGCGATAAGATGAACTAAAGGAAAGCTATCCGCTTCGATCGTGTCCAGATTCTCTTTTAATAAGAATACGTACCATCTCTCCAAGCAGGGGCGGACGCAAGTATTTCTTGAGGGGGGGGGGGGGGGGGGGGGGTCAGGTGTTGGTCAGCATATCATATGTTGAAGACCCCCCCCCCCCCTTTTCCCGCTCTTCCGCGCCCTAAATTTTTACAAATGCAGAATTCAAGAGGGGTGTCAGGACATCCCAACCCCCCTTCTGAATCCGCCCTTGTCTTCAAGTGTACCGTATTGGTACCGCAATAAAACACGAAATATAACGATACGAATAGAAACCGAGGGAGCGAGGGAGATTAGAGAGCGACGGAATGTCAAAGCACCAAGCTCTAGTTGTAATTATCACGTGGTTAACGCAAAAATAGGTCACTTTGTCTCTACCCTCTACTCAAAAGCAATCGTCCAAGGGCGGCGTCCGGCGTTCTAACGCGTTTCAACAATGAGTGGAGACCGGGGCAGAGTGATCTGGGTTATTCCACTGATGAGTCAAACCAGAGCTTGATGCTTCGACGTCCCCGCGCTTCTCCTTTCCTTCTTTTTTTTTAGTTCTTATGTCGTATAGACGAGATTTCTTTTAGCCGCGCCAGCAGAGGCGAGCGGTGCTCTACTTGGGACACGAACGGTATTTGCGGCGCTGGGGATTGCGGAAATCGCGGTGGTATGCCGCAAAATGCAGAGCCTACACGATTTCCTTTGGTGTGCCCCCTTTTTCTTTCGTCGTGTATTGGTTTCAGCCCCAAATGTACAAGAACTGTTCAACTGGACGGCATTTCAGTCCCCCTGCAAAACCACAGTTTCCACGAAGTGCCCGCGTGGAGCCGTCCCATTCGGCACAATATGGCCGCACGCTAAGATGACGAAAATTATTGTCTATACTCTACCCATATGTTTTCTACAGTCCTGGCGAAACCAACACCACCCAGACGGTAAAGACAGCACCCCCCCCCCCCTCGCCCCCCCGCCCCCCCCCCCCCCCCAAAAAAAAAAAAGAAAAGAGGCATCTACATTGCGTTAGCATCACCATCCGCGCTTGTCGGATTCGCAGTTTCTCACAATGAGCGCGACACTTTCACGCGGCGTCGCCAAGACGACCGGGTCCGTCCCTTTGCGTCTACTCTTGATTCACTGCAGGCATTTTCTTCGGAGTGACATCGCAAAGACACGAGCGTGCGGCTTTCAAGATGCCCTATTTGTGCTTGAGTTCGGGAGCACAACGCTTCCCACAGGGCCCCATTAAGTTGGACACTCAACGAGAAAGTTGGGAAGATCTCCGATCGCCCGGATGGGCCAGTCTTAAGGTGGAGCGTGGCACTGGCCGATCACGGCGCTCAGCGATCTCGCCGACTTTCTCGCCGAGCGTCCGGCATTGGGCCCGAGAGCTTCAGTACAGGCGCTCGCGATGAGACCAATCTCACCGGACAGTTTTCTGCGCTGCCTCGGCGGCGGTACATTAAAAACAACTTTTTTCATTCTGCACCTGTGAGAACACCACCGGAGCAATACGCGTGCAGAGGACGAGACGGCATCAGCCGTCTCCTACACTTTCGCTTGACTTGTGTCAACTAAAGCTATGGCGACGTTACACATGTACTGAAACCATAGAGATATCGGTATGTTGGCCATTAGAGACGCCGACTTGTGACAAAAATTGCACGATTAATTCTTATTTTTTACACATAGCGGAGTTTTCTTAAATAGCTTTCCAGAAAAGGTATTGTTGTAAGGCATACACATTAAACATATGACACCGTTGGGAGTGTAAATGGCTTGTCTATAACTAACGCCCTTGCTGGTGTAGCAAAACGCCCTAAGAAGAGGGTGTTATTCCTAACACCCCTAAAGGACAGCGTTATTCCGAACACCCTTAAATTAGAGTGTGATTCTACTGTACACAATTTTATTAGGGTGTTATGACTGTGCAGTACGCCCTCTAAATTGGGTGTACCACCGCTAGAAAGGAAAATAAAAAAAGCCGCGATGACCAACACCCATAAATGGGGTGTAATAACCCAAAAGAGCGAACGAAAAAAATGACTACGAATGATTCGAAACATGCCTGGTTCACTTTTTATTTTTCGATCAAGGTTGTACCAGGTTCTACTAAGTTCTCTACAGACGATTGCATGCAGGTTATCTGGCCGGAGCCATGTCTCTGCTTATGCGGGCAAGTGCGTGCAATTACCAGCTTGCCAAAGGGCAAATCTTTGTTCACGCGCACGTCATCAAACTTGGCGAAGGCAAGACTGAAAGAAATAGTTTTCCTTTATCCTAGCGATTCCACGGCGACGAGACGCTTCTGAACCAGTGGCGGTCCGTGCGTGTAAGGTTATGAACATTCCAATCGGATATTGTTTCATAACCCCTTCAAATTGTTCAATCGAAGGCCATAGTTATATCTCCAATTTTACTTTCTTGCGGCATTTATGCTTTCTAACACCGGTGACGTGAGCAAAACTGGCAGGCTTGCAAAGACGGAACGGCCGGGAGTTGCTTGGGACGTAAGCGGCAGTTCGTGTTTGTAAACAGTAAAATGGTCTATTGAGACGGAAGCAGGACTACTATCAAAAGCATGCTTGCAGAGTACTTACAAAGAAAACAGCGATCTCATGTAATCCTTGATAGATGAATAATCCGATTTGGGCAGCACAGAACAATCCACAAACACAGTGTTGAGGTTGAAGGCGGTCGATCACTGTCAACGAAAGTCTCACGGCCGCCGATGAGCAGCTCTTTGTCGAAAAGCGTCCAACACGCACAGCACAATAATTCCAGGGACTCCGACGAAACAAACGACAATTACCGGAAAGTTAGTATGGACGTATTCCGACCGTTCACGACGAAAAATCACGGCCGCGACTGCAACGCAATAAAAACAGGAAAACATTGACGGGCGCTTTTTGAAAGCCTGACCTACGTGGCCTCTACAACTCACCATAACTTGGCATACCGCAAAGACTACAGCCCCAGTGAGTCCATTAGCGCGTGAGAGCGAGTCACACGACAAATTTTCGTCCAAGCGTTTTTGTTCTTCGAAGAGCGGTCACGTGTTTCGCTCCACCCTTCTGATTTGCTAGAAGCGGCCTTCGCACTCGCTCATAGCCACCCGAAGACACAAAAGGTGTGGAAGCTCATCAGAAGACGCGGTCAAAGGGGGGTGGACAAAGCTGCTAATCTCCCTCCGCTGCTTTGTATTGCAAAACGCACTGTCTAGGGAAAGTCGCGAAATGGAACTCGTCAGGACTTGCTTTACAACCTTGAGCGTTTCCAACTGCCGGTTATGTAGAAGCGCATGCTCTTATGCGGACGGCGAGGTCACAAAATATAAATACAGAAAACAAATTTGAACGCCGTTGAAGCACGGGACAAAGCTAAGACGCTGAGAGCATGAAATAATAAGAAATGCGGCTTCATTAATACCCCCCCCCAAAAAAAAAAAAAAAAAAACGGGAAAAAGAAAGCGTCGGGACGCTAAATATTTTGGTGTCACCACGCAGAGTAAGAATTGCGGACCCGAGCGGGGGGTGTCATGAATCCGGCACTTTCGATCGTCTTGCGACATTGTTTCTTCAGAAGTGCACACAAAAACAAATAAAATTGAAGAGAAGGTGCTATAAGTAGTGCGAAACCCAGTCAGGTGAGATTGTAATACCCGTAATGAAGGCGCCACAGTTTGTTCAAGGCTTGAGCGCAGGAGGTCTTTCTCAGGTTAAATGTAAGCAGATTCCGTTTTGCTTAATCTTGTTTTGTGTTATTTTTAGCGTCGGATTTTAGGCAGTCAAGAAAAAAAAACATACCTAGCCGGCATAGCCGATTCACGCAGGACAATCTTGACACTCGACCAAAAGCGGCGCCGCGTACGGGATGTCAAGATGGCGTAGGCGCGACCCATCGCATTTTTTTACAGATATTGGCTATACCAAAATTGTGTGGGCACAATCTTTCCTATATAAACACACAACGGCGCAGTACTGTGTGCTGTCTGGGTTGTATATTATCTCGTGTTCGTTCTTTTTTTTTTTTTTTGCGAGCGGAGATAATTTTATTTTAATCAAAGTTGAACTAATAAAACGGATGCACGCGCGACACGCAATTTTCGGCTCGGGTCGTACGGAGAGTTCAATAGAAGATGCAAAAACTATTCTCCAGCACTTCCTAATCATACGCGACTCCGTGTGGCGATTAATGGTACTCGATGTTTGTACCGCCGTACATCAGCATGTTTCAGCAACGCAATAAATATGAACGGCTATGAAATCATGGGCGTATTTGACAGCATCACCATTACGCCCCTTTCACACCGTGTGAATGAAGGGCGTAAAATTCGCCCATACACCCTTTTTACACGATTTTAGACACCATAGCTTCAAGTGGGGCGTAAAAAGGGCGTGTAAGGGTGAAAAACGTCAGCACAATTTTTTTCACTCACCGATATTCAGAAATGGCGTGAAAAGGTGTAAAAAGGGTGTTTTTCTTAACTTACACCCTTCTCACACCCTTTTTACACGATTATGGTTGTTACAATGTTTAGTGTAGTTTAGCAAAGATTACTCGTCCAGTTCGCGTACGTCGTCGCCTGCCTTCCGGCACTGAAGTACACTTTCGGTTGGGCCTTTGCTGCCGAGCCATAGCAGCAGATTTTTGCGTCGTTTGCTTCTATGATTCTTGGCACAAACGTGGGAAACTTACGTAAATCAAAGGACCGAAGTCTGGAAAAGAGTCGCGACACAATTGTTCCTTCGTGATTTTCGCTCCCGGGAGTTCCGTCATATTTATATTGTAGCGTGTCTGTGACCTCACATCAAGGCAGGCTTGATCCAGAGTCCTAAAAAAAGCAAAAGTAAAGAACGCCTAATGATCCCCAAAGATCGAATATTGATTAAACCATCACACATTCGCGTGTTGCGCTACTTAAATGTATATGAAAGTTGCACAAACAAACAAGATATTCAGGAATATACCGATCTCACCAAGCGTCAGGCGCATGCGTGACGCCGCCATAACTATAGTTTGCTGCATGCAAGCTCCAGTGCGCGAGACGGCCTGTGCGAAGCCACATGTCAGGCGGCAATGCCCGAGACGGCTTGTCACGCGCAGAAATCTAGCGAAGTTGCCGCACGTTCAGAAAGACTAAAGTTCTCTCGACGCACTGTAGCAGCGGTGGCGCAGCGAAATTGACTGGAGAGATCGGTCTATTGTTAACAGCTCACTAAGAAAACTCGTCTCGGAGACTGCTCAATGTTCTCTGCAAAGAACCCTATCAGATGAAGTGGAACCCAAATTTGAGAAGTGTCTTTAGAATGCGTTTCAGATGTCACTGCTCGCCCCTGTCGGATACTTGACTCAAACTCATCTGCAGCGCTAGCTGTCGTTAGCTTGCGCCATACGAAATTATATCGTTCCGCCTAAAAAACGAAGTCTATCTTTCTAGTGAGGAAAAGACTGCCTGACCCGAAACATTAGCTTGGATTCCATTCTCCAAAAAGGCCTTTCAAGGGTTAATAACCCTAACATTTTGAGTGGATGGTTGGGTGGGGGAATGAACTGAACCCTTTGATTCTGGCGGCAGCTTTGGCCAACTGGCCAAAGCTTGAACTGTCTTCAATAGAGTTGTCTAAGGTCCGGGACATTTCTATCTGGCGAACTCTCATGGAAGTTTTAAACAAACCTCTCTAAGCAAATTATTTTTTTACAGTTGACTTAGGACTGCGTATTGTTTAATTTTTAACGAAATAAATAACCAAGGCAATGATAAATACAATTATAAATCACGAAAATCTGGAGAACGCACACTTTTTTTTACTAGGCTCGGCATAGTTCTGTGCATTGGATTCTAGTAACACATCTAGAAAATTCTTTTATTGTACCTACCACAATGAAGAACTAATATTGACATTTATTCTAGTAGTACGATACTCAGAGGAAATGTCGATATTAATGACTCAATATTTCCTAAATAAATATTTGATTTTTGGGTAATTTCTTGCATTTACCACTGTACCTGCGTTTGTAAAGTTACCATTCCAGTGTACGCCGAATAAATAAAACCATCTAAAGTTTAGAAGCGCTCCTACTATAAGATCAGCGCTATGAGGCGTTTGTCAAACCTTGAAAGTTTAAACACGACGTGTGGCCACTCACTGAAACTCATACAAAGCTTCTTACAATGTTGGCCTTGGTTCATCATTGTTGGACTCTATATAAGATGCTTGATTTTAAATCGAACAAAGTTCTTTCTTAGTTGTAGTTAACGCGGTTTTTTTCTTCATCGTGTCTTTATCAGGTTCGCGGGTATTAAATGATGATGACTGTCAAGTGAACGAATTTTAAAAGCGGTATCATGCGTCACAACAACTAATTGTAATAGCTTTACCGGCTATTACAATTAAAGGCTTTATCAATTTAAGCAAGTCTTCAAATTTGTATTAGGCGTAGAGGTATTGATTGATCATTTTTGATAGTTTTTTGTAAAATTAATATAAACTAAACGGAAACGAAGCACCAGGGCGTATTGGAACCTTTGATACATAAAAAACTTTGAGTACAAAGTTTTTTATGTATCCTACATACATAAAAAACTTTGTAAAGTAGTAGGGATAATGAACAAATATAGAAATGTATTTCCTGTAACTATAAAAAAATTAGTATATAATTCCCTTTTTCACTCAATTCTTTGTTATTGCCACCTGGTATGGGGGACAACAACAAAAAGTAACTTTGACAGGTTGAGGTTAATGCAAAAAAAAGCAATAAGGATACTTGAAAATGTCCCACGTGACCATAGTTCTCTTCCTTTATTTGCAAAGCATAAAAAACTTGACGTATCTAACATGTACTCTAATAGATTAACGGTCACATATCATCGTGCCTTAAGAGAACATATTACAGTAATTTTTGACCTCGCTAAACTTGAAAATAATGTATCATTATATTCCTCACGCCATTGGCGTCCATGGAGAATCCCATCATCTAGAACTAATTTTGGCTTCCAGAGGTTGAGTTACAGATTACCGTCACTGTTGAACACCTTATATTCCCAAGAAGTTGATTCACCTTCATTAAATGCCCATAGAACTGAGGCTTTCTTATATTGAGTGAAAATGTTTGTCATATGTTTGGTATATTTTCTACTTCAGTCTGTTTTTGAAGCGCAACCTATTTCCAATGACACTTATTTTATGCGATATCTTATATAAGTTATCTTTATTGTGTTTTTCTTTCGTGTCTGGAGATGAGTGTTGGTAAACTTTCGTTAAATGTCCATAAAACTTAAACTTGCCGGTAATAAATAGATTCTTTGCCTTATGTTTGTTATATCTATCTATCTCAATGTGTATTGAGACGATGCTTAATATATTGCTAAATATCATGTTACATCAGTTATTTTCACTGTTTTTTTTGTGTGTGTTTTTGATGACAGTGCCGCTCTGCCCTGTGTTTTTTGGGGGGCAGGAACCCGTCAAGCTGCAAACTTGCAGCTTTTTTTCCTGGCCCCCCTTGTCACATGTGTGTAAAAGCGCTGTAACAAAAATAAACTGATTCTGATTCTGATTCTGATTCTGAGTTGGAAAACAATAGAAGATCACAGGAACCACTTGGGGGAGTATTAAAGAGGGAACATAATATGGCCTTAAAGGTAAGTTCCAACTGAGCATTACACTTAGGACTTAATAGAATACCAAATATGGGTAGGACACAATGAAGCATTAAAGGTGTGCACAATACAGCCTTAAGGAAGTATAAAAAATAAAGCACGATTAATCATTAAAGATGGAACGCAACCAAGCAACCATGGTAGGACACAATGAGTCATGAAAAAATAGGTCGCTATAAAGCATCAAAATGAGGAAACAACGGAGCATTACAGGTGGGACACAAAGATGTTTAAAGCTATGTCAAAATAGACCACGAAATGAAGCACACAATGGAGCCCCAAATCTAGTACACACTGGAGAATCAGAATAGAACACTATGATGCTTCAAAGATGGGGCATAATGAATGATCAAAGGTTGGACATAATAAAACATCCATTATAGGACACAATGAGGCATGAAAATAGGACACAAGAAAGCGTAAAGAGTATAAGACAATACAGGATCAAACGTAGGTGGCAGTGAATAATCAAAAGTAGTGCGAAACGGAGCATTACGGGAGGGTCGCAGTGAAACCTTAGACATGACAATGTAGAACCTCAAAGGTAGGACACAATAGAGAGTCAAAGGTAGAACACAATAGCGACTGAAACCAAGGGCACATAGGAGCACCGAAGATGGAATACAAAGAAACATAAAAAATGGGGAATAGTGAATAAAATAAAGCATCAATGACGTACACGATGAGGCATAAATATAGGACGGTATAAAACAAAAGTAGAAGAAAATGAAGCACACAAAGGGGGGGGGGGGGAACAATGAAGCGCCAAATATAGGAGACCATCAGGAATAAAAAGTAGGACACAACGCAACATTACAGATAGGACACAGTGGAGCCTTAACGTTCTGACAAAATAGAACATCAATGGTAAGACACAATGAAGCAACAATGTTATGACAAAATAGAGCGTAAAAGGTAGGAAACATTAGAGCGTCAAATGGAGGACACAATAGAGCCTCGAATTTAGGACAGAATGGAGCATCAAAGGTAGGCTAGAATGGTACATTGCTATTAAATAATATAAATTCGTACCTAACAAACCCTTTCAATTGATCCAAGGAACACTCAGACCATTGTCCATTTCGTGCGCCGTTTGCACGTGGCGCCATTATGTAGCCATCTTTTGGGTTGCACACAAGATTTTTGTAAGCAGGAGTGTAATACCCCGGTTTGTCACCGTCGTGCACCATTCCAAGCCTGTTGAAAAAGTTAAAATTTCCAGGTTTGTTAGTGGCGTTCTCCCGAATTTATTAGATGCAGGTTTAAAGTGCACCAACATGTGCAATCAATATGTCAATAACATGTGAATATATCACGATATATGAGGGGACCGGATTTCAGAAGAAAACAGAGTCCAAGGGACAAGAACTGTCCCAACGAAATATCTTCTACAGATACCTTCTTGTTATCTGTCAAAAAATGAAAACTACGAGATTCGTTTGTGGCTTCCTTTTGAAATCGGAGGTCAAAGCAGGCACAAAAATCATCCACGTGTGACATATTATGCATCAGAAACACCTGTGAATATATTCCGATATGTAAGGGAAGTCATTTAAACAAATAATATTAATATCTAGTTGTTGCTTCGCCCCACCGTACATGTTGTAACGCGGGTGGGTGTTCACGTCATCATGAATGCCCGATAACTTAACTCAGCGCCACCGGTCGCTCTTGCATTGCCAGTTTTTCGCAAGATCTAACAGCGTCCCAAGGACACGAGTTTTCCCCAAGGCAAATCTGGTACTAAGTGTCCCCCCTAAATTGTTTCGTCTTTTTTTTAGTCGCAGAAGAAAAAATAAAGCGTGTATTCTGGAACGCAGTCTTTCCGCAAATATGGCGCTAGCGGTGCTGACTACACACGAAACATCAATGTTGACTGCAATCTGGTTAAATATACTACTCAATCTTCGGCAGTTTTAAATGGGGAAAGGGCGGATGACGAGGTTCAGAAATTCATGGAGAGTAATGGCGTCAGCCACCCCCAGGAATGGGCTCCACTTTTCCAATTAAGGTACTGAGAAATAATTTATAAATGTTAATTAACATGACGTTTATTTCTGAAAGATTGCCACCTGGTCCCTAACGCTAGCGCTATTATTTGGCAGTGACTCTGCATTCAACAAGCAACAAAATTGTTTTGTGAAAAAAAAAAAAAATTTGTAGACGCGCTGTAGTATGTTTGAAAGGGTTCGATTTGCTAATGTGTACAAACCAATATAATTTACAATTACGATGATAGTTCGAGTTTTACTGCACTTTCAACTCTGCAGAGGAATGAAACAATATGACATTCACGAAACAATGTCAGTGTTTCAAAGTATTTTCCGTGCATGTCCAGTGAATGCTACCATTGTTTTGGTATCTCTCTGTTTTTGCGTAGAAAAATCTGGTTTGCGGAGCTGCAGTCGGAAGAACGTGAGCGCGCGGTGTATTCGTTATCGGCGCTCACATTTTGCCTAACTGTTTACTCCATTCGTAAACTCTTCGCAATGATAGCGTCAGTTCCTGATAATGGGCTTGTAATCTGTCTGAATTGAAACTAGATGAAATTTCTTATTTAGAAGAAATTTGATTGTTCACCACTTTTTCAGGCGCACAAACGCATTGCTCTATGTGGTCGCGTGAGTTAACGCAAGCGCTAAAATTGAGTATGTTATTCAAAAACTCCCTATTGAGAAGGACGTGTACATGCGGTGCGTCGGCACTTTGAGAAGGATGCGTACATGAAGTTCCTTCGAGCTGTGCAACATGCTTTTTTTTTTTTTTTAATGAGCGTATTCTTAGCTTTTTGAAGGCCATAAAAATTGGGGTTCATATTTCCTTTTTAAATATTGAACGTGTTTCTTAGAAAGCACACGACTTTGAATATATTTGGCATACATAGTTTGAAGCTACTTGACCATAAAAACAAGAGCGAGTGGGACTGAAACCGGATAATTCTCGACCGGCTCTTTTTTAGGAGGAAAGAAAACAATTTCCAGTCTCCAATTGTGTTCTGCGTAGTTAGCCCTTATAGGTCATGTTCGAATAAAAACCTCGGCGAGCTTAAATACCCTTTAAGTGCGATAAGAAAAGAAGGGCATTGAAGACAAACAGACATGACAGGCTTTCGACGTTCAACAAAACGTTTACTGGCTCGACTTCGCTTCCTGAAGCTTGAGGGGGGTCGTCGGGGAGGTAGAAAGGGAGGGTGGTGGATGAGAGAAGCGTGAGCCATGTGGCCTTGCTTGAGGCTATGCCTGAACGGCGGAAGGTAGGGTTCTGCTCTGTGTCAATCGGCACGTCGCCGTAAACGCATGGCTGCGAGCAGGGTCTCACCTTCCGCCGTGCACCCATAGCTGCGATAAGGCCCACATTGCTCAAGCGCGAGACACATGGGCGGCAGAATCGTCCGATCCGACTTCCGATCCGGCAGTCCGAACGCCGCTCCGAATCGCCACACGCGACAGTTTGAGACACACGCTTCCGACCTTGCATGCGGCACGACGATCCGTTCGGCTCCGCCGAGGAGATCCAAGCACTTCAGCGGAGGTTCGCGTTCATAGATCTCTGGTCTCAAATTGATGGTTTAGCTTGCACGAGCGAAGTTAGGAGCTCGTTCTCTCTAGCGCGTGCATTCTCTACCGGGGCCATCTATTTCGAATGGGTCAGCGGGATCCACGCGTCCGGCTTCCCGTCGCCCGTCCCGTTTTCTTACTCGTCCCGCCAGATCCAGTACGTCATCATGACGTTCGCGCTAGCTGTGCTGTCATTGGCTGGACGCATTCGACAATCTCTCCGCCGTGCGAAACTATCTAGCGCGTTGGACGCACGTCGGATCGCCGATCCGACGTCTGAAGCGACAAAATTTTTCGGATCAGGCAGTCGTATTGCCGGATCGGGCGTCAGATCAGATATATTTTTCGCACGTGTCTCTCGCGCTTCACGCTACTCTCCCCAGCACCCTCCCTCTCTCCCAAGTAGCACGGATATTGGCCAAGCAACGGCCAATGGCTGGCGATGGTCCTTTGGCCAGTGGCCAAAGAATCGCCGTTCATTGGCCAACACTTGGCCGATGGCTGATTGCCAGTGGCCATTGGCCAATGGCAAGAGAAAGGCCGTTCATCGGCCAATCACAGGCCACCCAAGCAGCACGGATTTTGGCCAAGCAATGACCAATGTCTGGCGATGGTCTTTTGGCCAGTGGCCAGAGAGTGGCCATTCATTGGCCAATGCTTGGCCGATGGCTGATGGCCAGTGGCCATTGGCCAATGGCTAGATAAAGGCCAGTCACCGGCCAGTCTCTGGCCACTGTCTGGCTACTTGGCTAAGGACCATTGCCAGCCATTGGCCGATGACTGGCCAACTCTGTGCTGCTTGGGCACTGTCTAGCCGCTGGCCAAAGGAACATTTCTAGCCACTGGCCAATGATAGGCCCACTCTGTGCTGCTTGGGTCTACCTCTCAGACGCCCCCCGTCGAGTTTCAAAAGGCGAAGTTGAGTCAGTTAATGTTTTGTTTAAAGTCGAAAGGCCTGTCTTGTCCGTTTGTCTTCAATGCCCCTCTTTCCTTATCCTAAAATAGAAACCTAGACGCTGATTGGAGCGGAGCAATTGCGGCCAGTGTAGACTGCGAAACACGGTGCTCATTTTCCAAGCCCTGCTTCAGGCCATCGTAAGTACCCTTAGATGGGCATTTTGGTAACACAAGCAGAGTGCACAAAATGGCAAGCCAGCGGAGCCGTGACTTGTACAATTGCCTTTGTTCAAAGACCCGACCCGGCGCTTATTGAAAACCGTTAATGGTCTGATTGGTATGCACTCGGTGAATCACATGCTGCTTCTCATCGCATAAAGTTACAGCCGAGCCTGTTTCAGAAGGCCCTATGTAAGCGGCCAGGGACAGAGAAGCACATTTCCACCTGAAGGGTAAGTGGCGTTCGGACGGTAGCTGCTATAGCGTATGGTACACTTGTGCTGGTGATTTGAAAAATTTAATGACTTAAAATTACAAAATGCCGAGTCTCATATGTAATGCATTACCGTTACAAATTACTTTCGCTGACAAATGACGGATTAGATTACTCGTCACGTTACCAATTACTTTCACGTCATTTTTTTCCGTAGAACATTCAGAAGATAATAAAAACAATTATGATATTTTTTCAGAAGTTTTCACTATTTTCCTCTACTCATTCTTCCGTATTAGGGTAGTCTTTCTGAAAATAAAACATTCCATTAAAGAGAAAGAGTGTAGGTTCATTCCGTTCACCTGTAGGCTGACAAGGCACCGAAAGCTGCACCCAGACCCGCCATCCCGCTAGCTTACGGCCTCCGGAAATGATCCCTGAAATTGTGCAGACAAAGCTAGCGGTGCGTATGCTCAGTAGCAGCGTCTACGAGATTCGGAGCTAAAGAAGCGATCTACGAAAGCTTCCTTATGAGTCGGGGGTTTCGCCTGTTATTCACACGAAAGAAAAAACTCGGTGCTAACGTTACAATGTATAGCCAATGTAGAATGCAAGTGTCCCAGTTTACTTTGATGTGTTTACGTAGATTAGAGTTTGTTGTGTTGTTGATGACAATATGTGGTTTTTGGCAAGAAAGTAACACTGAAACTCTAGATTTCGTTCTCCTTAATGCTCTGTCTGAATTTTGAACATTTCCTTAAGAGATGGCCATGGAGACGACGGACTCTTCATGGCCGAAAACACGAGCAGTCAGTGAAAAAGTAGCGGATACGGGAACAGCGGTTCTCACTTTCATGCCAATATTCGTGGAGGCCAGGGAAGGGGAGGGCATAGAGAGTGAGAAAATCAGTGGCCATCGGTCTGACAAAACAATGAAGGAGCACACTACATTTACTCTCTCTCTGTCAGCACTCTTTAGGCGGCCTATCCACCCCTCCCCCCACCTCTTTATGTTGACAGTTGACTGTAAAGTAAGGAGTGGACTCGACAACCATGTCTACACAAGTAAACCAAAAGACGTATCGTCCGAACCCTCGAAAACGATGCTGTTATCCTCGCGCCAGACGCTTTTCAGCCGTGCCTCAAGAGCACGCTAGAATAAAGTAGCGCACCTCAAAGACAGAAAGAGTTCGACCACCTCGCGCGAGGCTACATCGCCTGTTACGCGACTCGAAGCCCGCGAATTGAGGGAATATGGACCCGCGTTTGATGTCTGTGCAGGTGGCGGGAAACGTCCAAGAAGTTGCAAAGGGTGAAACGGTGTAAAAAGATAAAAACAAACCGGAAGAACTTTCTCCTGTCTTAAAGAAAAAACAACAACAACAACAACAACAAAAAAACGGGATGGCAGGTGACGGAGACCGTTCTCGGCATTGTCTTACATGGTCTTGTATTTCACTAGTTGTGCATGCCTTGCCAGTCTTTCTAGTGGTTCTAGTGACCAGTCATACAAAAAATCGTGTTTTCTTTTCGGCTACTCTCCCCTTCCTTTTGTCTTCTATTTTGTTGAACTTGCTCTCTTTATGCTGCTGAATGTTCAGCTCTTATTGTTCCAGTTACTTTATTATGCTCTTATTTTGTTTTAAAGAAAGAGTAATTAAAGTAATTCGTTTCCAACTTGTTGTAACGAAATTACATTACAACCTAACTCCGAAAAAAAGTAACATGGTATTATGCAATTGCTTGAAAAAGTAACGAATTACCAATGATCCGTTACTTGTAACGGATTACTTCCCAAGTCTGGCATATTGGACCGGGGCCGCCATAGCATGCGGGACCGTGCCCAAGCAAGCCTGCTGCGGAAAGGGGGGGGGGGGGGGAGGCGCAAAGGCCTCGAAGAGCTCGTGGCATTGACAATGAATCACGACAGGCATTCAGAGCTAAATACCGGCCTCTACTGCCCTGGCGGGGAGCGCAAATTGCGCTTGGGATAAGTGAGGCGTCTTATGAGGAATGCGAGCTCATTGAGGACAGCCACTGGCCACGCCCTCAAAAGTAGGGGTTGCAGCAGTACTTACACACCTTGTCTCATAAATAACACCCCCAAAACAACAATTAGATGTCTAGTTTATTGACGTCGAACCGACGATGCCAAATAATACGAGCAGTTCGAATAGTAGAGTGGCACAAGTTATTAAAATAGGTAATGTACGCATAAAAACTACAAAAAAATATTAAAGTTTTTGTTAGTGGTGCTGCAAAACATCAGTGTTTTATGCTGTAGTCTTTTATGCTTACTTTAGCTATTTAGTATGTTATATCGCACAGCTCACAAGTTGCTTGTAAATGTTGAATCGTCAGTTCGACGTCAGTGGCCCGAACGTCGAAATGTAGTTTTGGGGTGTTATGTATGGGACAAGGGGTGTGAGCACTACACCACCTATTTCTGAGAATGCGGGACAGAGCCCGAAAGAATCAAGCTAAGCCGAGAGCGGTGATATGTTTGCTGTAGCATATGACAACTTTCAAATCTCAGCTCGCAGTTTTTTCACCTTGTGACGGCAGGGGTGGACACTAAACATTTAAAGTTGTAACGAGTATTTTTAGCTCGGAGGTGGAAGAACAATAGATACAGCGTAAAAAAAAAAAATAACAAGCAAGCGCTGTAAACGGGTTTTTCTGATGCATAATGCACACTCATATAAAGAGTCTCGATATCCCCTCACAAAGTCAACAAACTAGAGAAAAAGCGCTTGAAAGTAGCAACCGGGTCGGCGTGCATTGCCCTTTTCATGTTCCTGAAATGCGCTCTAGCCTCGTCCTGAAGGTAACACAGGCGCATCGTATTTTCTGATGCGGATACTTACAAGTGTCCCCATTCATGGGTGAGAATGCTGACCATGCTGAATGTATGGGGCATATCTTCTGTTGCGGCAACACGTAAAAATCTGCACAGTTGCCCAATGTAGGCAGCACCTGCAAGCAATATTGAAAAAAAAAAAAAAGAAATTCAAATTTCGAGTATGAAGCACTATTGTTTCTGTTTCTAATCAGTTTAATAACATGTACAAATACTGCGTGGTTGAAATTTTGAAGGGGATACATGAGTGCAAACATGAAAATGCACGCGCAAAACAGCAAAAAAAGTATTTTAAATTTTATAATGTAGGTCCATAATATTATGTCGTAAAAAAAATTACAATCGGCAATACTTATTACTTTTGTACGATATGAGCGTGTTGATGCTTTTTTTAAGGGTAAGAAACGGGAGACGCATAGGGACGAAACAGACAGGACAATCTTCCAACTTGAACTACATTTATTTTCGGCTTTAAGCACGGTGCCCCACCGCTGCGTTGGACGAAGAAAAATGAAAAGCTCTTGGGGAAGAAGGGAGGCGAGAAGAATGAAAGAAAAAGCCCCAAAAAAGAAGAGAGAGGGGGGAGCGTGCGAGCGGGATTACGGGATTACATAACGAAGACGGGTATACGTAACCGCCTCTGCTGGTGACCTCGTCGACTCGCCGTGTTCGTCAAAGTTCGACGTTCATCGTCGGCCTCGAGAAGGCTAGCTCCGTATATGATAGCAAGAAGGATAGAGTACCTATGTTCTGCGGGCTAATTGCGATTTGAAACGCCTAGATTATTTCTCTCCCGATGCGCTTGCGGTGGCCTCCCAGGTTCGTTGTGGCGGCAAAAACGCAGCCAGCGCAACTTTCCCATGAATGACAGTCGGGCGCTGGGAATCTGAAACAGCATTTTTTGCGTCTATCTGATGCTCTCGAAGCCGGTTGTTACTGGACCGGCTCCGAGAGCATCATATAAGGCGGTGTCGTCCCCATCCGGCTGAAGCCTCAATTCGGCTAGTGCCTCAATTCGGCTAGAAGTTTCAATTCGGCTGGACGTTCCAGTTCGGCTACATCCTCAATTCGGCTAGATGTTTCAATTCGGCTGGACGCTTCAGTTTGGCTAAATCTTCACTTCGGCTACAAGTTTCAATTCGGCTGCATGCTTCAGTTCGGCTAGATCCTTGTTTCAATTCGGCTGGACGTTCCAAGTTTATCAAGCTAGACACCCAAGCATAAGGTGCCCCCAATTTTTTTAGAGAGACGTTAACTATATCTGCATCTTGCCTTAACATTGCAACGTCCAAGCACAGATCAATAAGTTCAAGCAGCTACAGATGTTGGTGGGCGGTGAGCCAGCTTTTTAGGGCACTCCTTGGAGCCCGTAGGGTGGGCGCCTGTGCATAGAGCACATCGGGGCGTACACTCGTGGCCTTGTTCCGCCGCCTTTGCTCGTCCCACAAAATCTGCGGGCTAATGGCTTCCTTCATGATAGAAACTGTACCCGTCTTCACGTTACGAAGCCCAAATGGTTCGTTCGAAACTCTTATTTGTTTGGAGCATGGCTAGCACAACCACATCAGAGAACAGAATGGAACATATTTCTTTCGTGCTGCTGAGCTATTGTTGGGGTTCCGCAGGCTTTATTTGTTGCATTCGAAATTCTTCTAATCAGTTGGAAACAAGTTCTACTGCCAAAACCCAACCCCTCCCCACCCCGACGTCACAAATAGTGATGTCACATAGACTAGGGGAACACAACTACACCATAAACAGAATCACTTCTGCGCACTAAGGCATACATTGCCAAGATTGCAGATGTCGAGCAGAACTAAAAACATTGCCCCGTAATAAGTAAAAATAATAATCAACTAATTAGGGAAATTATTGAAGCTGAAAAGATTTCGAGGTTAGAAGAAAACTGTGTCACTAAACTTTGTCCAAATTTATTAAAAAAAAAATTAGATTATCTTGCATCCAGATGAAACCAGAAATAACAATAAAAAATCGTTTTGTTTAAAAAGACAGGCGCAGGCAGAGAAGAAAAAATACAAATCTGTGTTGCAAGTCAGAGCTTCATGAATGTCTTTTCCTTTTGTGTGTCCCTGTGCTTCGTTGCGATTTTTTCGCGCTGAGGAGGAGTATGCAACACCAGTTTGCCCGAGCCTCCATATTTTTAATACTGCCAGTAGAAACTTTCACTTTGAAAATATGATGAGGACCGAATTTGAAAATTAAATGTCGCCAAACAATGTTTTGCGGACGTAAAGTTTTGGTTACGAGGTCAGTCACAGCTACTGGTGTGTTTAGCCAATTTTGAGGCAAATTTGTGACCTTGAAAAAAAATTACAGGTATACTTTTACATCCTCCTTAGCCTCCTGAAGATGTAAATCACTGGATTGAACCCCTACCATATTGTTTTGTCTCATAACTGATGAAGGTATCTTCTTTTTTTCTTCAACTCAGTTCGACGTAGGAGCTGCCAAGGCGTCCTGTCCCTTTCACGTGAACAGTGGCCAGCACTGGAAGAAGCAATCTCTGGACTGCTGTAATCCATTCTTTGGGCAAGTGAATAAATTTCTTTGAAGCAGAGACCTGGTGTTCGCACAGCAGCTCCACAGAACAAACAACACAAACGCAAATGTTTCTGTGCCCAAAGCCTTCGTAGCTGCTTGAACTTATTGATCTGAGCTTGCACGTTGCAATGTTAAGGCAAGATGCAGATATAGTTAACATCTGTCTAAAAAAATTGGGGGCACCTTACGCTTGGATGTCTAGCTTGATCAACTTGGAACGTCCAGCCGAATTGAAACAAGGATCTAGCCGAACTGAAGCATGCAGCCGAATTGAAACTTGTAGCCGAACTGAAGATTTAGCCAAACTGAAGCGTCCAGCCGAATTGAAACTTCTAGCCGAATTGAGGATGTAGCCGAACTGGAACGTCCAGCCGAATTGAAACTTCTAGCCGAATTGAGGCACTATCCGAATTGAGGCTTCAGCCGGATTGGGACGTAACCATATAAGGCCGGGAGCTTAAGTCGGTCGGAAAAGCCGAGATAGGCTCCTGGCTTATCCGACCCCAAGATGCAGCAAAAAAAAAAAAAGAAAAAAGGCGGCGTCCACCGCCGTCAAGTTAAGAGTAGGAAAGGGGAAAATGGGGAGGTGACGAATGGAATTTTCAGCCTGGTTAAAACATATTGTGCTTGTAGGCGTTTAACGACCACCTGGGAAGACCGGCGTACTTGGCCCCGCAGGGCAGGCGAATAAGGAGCACCTTTGACTTGCAGACGGTGAACTTGCCTGCATGAACACCACCTGGCAGGCTAGTTAGTTATACATATAAGAATATCAAAGCGCATAACGACGAGGAAGAAAAAAAGAGTGAGACAGGAAAGAGCGCGCTTTGTCTTGTACCCAACTGTTTTCCTTCATCGTCGTTTTGCGCTTTAATATTCTAAAATTGCTTCGATGTTTTTGAGGCAGCTAAGGGGGGGGGGGGGGGGGGTCCCTCCGTGCTTAAGATCTTACACATGTCGCCGAGCCTAGGTTTGCACGTAAAACCGACTTTTTTTGACAAAATTGGAGACGAGTGCTTCTATGCGGTGAGATGTATGAACATACGAAATGCAAGGTGGTCTTCTTGTGGCAGGCGATGTGTTGACGTCTCCCTTAGGCGGGTGTTCTGTGGCAAATATTTTCTAGTTGGCCGGAGTAAGATCGCTAGGATAGCCTGCCCTCTGTGCACGCGCGCAATTCTGGTTTATGCTAGCAACCGGTGGTGGGTGCAAGATTTGGCGCACGCTGAGGAGTGCAGGCACCTGACGATGGCGTTTTTTATGTTTCCATTGTGCGCTTGAGAATGAGATCAGCGGCTTTGTTGTTCGCTGTTGTAACGAGCAGCATACTCTTTTTTCAGAAGATTGGAACCCTCTAGAAACTGCAATTCGCCTTCCGTAGAGCTCTCCCTCTTGAATGTCAGGTACCCAGGCGAAGCCGATGATTGACGTCGAGCGTCGACGAGCGCGATGAGATACGAGGTCATATATAAGAAGAGGCTGTTACGCAGATCCCCTTCATTTCGTAATCTCGCTATTCCCACCTCCTTCCCCCCCCCCCCCCCTTCCTCATAGAGGCTTCCTTAAAATCCCATACAACGGAGGAAATGAATTTGTAGGTGTATATTTACGGCGCGAAACGAATGTGTAGTTAGCGCCCGCGGGAGCCGCCGCGGGTCACGTGGTAGACCATTGCGCCGCCGCGCCGCGCCGCCGCCGCCGCACGCTGAGCGTGGTGCGCCGCCGGTTCAACTTGTTTGTTCTCGCCGCCACCGCCGCCGCGCTAATTCATCTGCTCCGGGGCGCCGTCGCCGGCACTTGACCGGAGCAAAGGTATATCACGTCAGCTTGCGCTTTATCAGGAGCTTCCTTCATTCTATAAAAGTTACTAAAAAACTTTCGTTTTTTTTTTTTTTTTTTTTTTTGCCTTTTAATCGAAGTGCAAATAAGTAACTCTCAGAGAACATAGGAAGCTTCCGAAAGAGCGGAAGCACCACGCGACAAATAGCGACCAGTCATGTGATAAATAGCGGCCACTTTTGCGCAGCGCCCGCGGTCGCCAACTGGAAATTTGCATCGCCCCGTAAATATAGCTCTAGAAACTTTTATATTCGTTGTAAATTCGTTTTTATGACTTCCCTTTCTCAACCATGCTGTTAAAAAAAATTATCTTGGCATGTGTCCTTTAAGTACATTTCTATATTGCATAGTTTTAACAAAAAACGAAAGGCAAAATTAGGTTGTATGGGAGCGAATATTTTCAACTTTGTAGAGTTATCCCAATCTGGACACATTGGGCGATGGAAGAATGTAGCAGCCTCTTTTGATACCTGTAGGTCTGTGATATATCCTAGCAAGAAAATAAACCTAAATAATCTTTTATTTTGCTTAGGAGGGATTGGGTTATACCAATCTTCTTTCTGTTTAGTTTTAGTGCAACTTGAATAGGCGATGTAATCGGTGGTCACAAAGCGCTTGATTTATAAATCGCTTTATCTTAGTTTCGAGGTTACCTCTCAGATGGGTTCCAAATACCACAAGCTAGTTTTAAAGCCGGTCTGAGAGAATAAGAATTAATGCTTGTTTCACACGGCGGAATGTATTCCCCAAACGTTTTTGTATAAAATACATAATTATTGTGGCCTTAACCACATTATTATCTTCTTGATCGTTTCATTTTAAGGGAGATCAATAATACACTTTGGAATCCTTAAAGTGTCTACATTTTGAAATATTTTATTTACTTGCCACAGAAGTGCCGAAGGACAGATAAAAAGTGAAGAAGGTAACGACAACACGAAGCGCGCTAAAAATTTAACGTTTATTACAAAACACGCTGACATAAATACCTAAATAACCCACGTCACTTCCAGCCACCCCAGTATCTCTCTCTCTCTCTCTCTTTAAAAAGCTTATAGGACATTTAAGCTTCGCCTTTAATTTTGAACGCGATAGCGTTATCGGGTCCCGATCACATCGCTTTCTCATTCGCCGTGCAAGAATGTCCTGCGTGGCCTACTCAGTAGCCTGCCTGGCTGGGGCAAACGACGGGTCGTTGGTTCAAATCACGCGTAACATTCCTCAATTTTTTTCTCCAAGGCAAGTGAACTACTTTATAAATTGAAATCATTTGAGACAAGCGGCGACGCTTAATACGCACTGTATGCCATGTTTTCTTCACTTTCGTTCCACGCGTGGCGTCACGGTCCACGTTAGCGTTGTGGGTTGTTCGAAATTCCCGGGCGAGGCCATGTGGCCGTGACGTCATGTCTCTATCAACGAATCAGGACTTTGTCGTCAAACGAACCAACGCCGGCTTTTCTGCGACACGAGCTCCTTAACGCTCTCGAGTTAACATAACATTTCCTTATCTCACAGGGTCATAGACGGCTCAGCGATACACTTCTCGGCGCACCCTGTTTCGATGACAAGCGATTTTGTGAATTTCCTGAACGGTTCTTCTGGTGTGCCGTTTCAGGATGGTTCTGTTTGAAAACAAGGGCTTGCTCCGGCCTTGATCGCAATGCACTGCCAAACGCCCAGGCGGCGTTTGTCTGAAAGCTCCTGCGTGTTCTCTAGCTCAGTAATTATCTAGTTCGTATTCATTAGCTCACAGCTTCGGTAAAAACGAATGTATTTAGAGTTCTGGTAAATTAGGATTTTTTTTTCAAGTATGACATTAGTCCTTTAGCACATATATGACAAATGCGAACCTTAAAAAAGCAAAAACAGACAAACAAAAACATCAGGTTTTTTTTTTATATGAGAATAATGAAGGAAATGGCCGCATAATCAGTATGCGTTTCTACGTACCCAGGACAACGCTGGAAAGTACGCCATTTTCATCAAGACTTGCGATGTCACGCCTAAAAAAATGTTAGAAGGTAATAGAAATACATTTTAACATTATAGAATAACGTTTCAATCACACACTCAACTAGACTCGTTTTCTGCATAAACGGAGGAATGGTTCAACTCTCTTTCTGCACTCACTGACAGTCTATAAAACACAATGCTTGGACAGTTCTATGAATGCAATTGTCGCTTCGCGGCCACTGAAATTGCGAAATGAACCAATAAAAATGAAAGCCGTTTACAACTCCCTGTAACGCCGAATTAGAGCGCAGCTCTGGAGGGGTCCTCCGGGGTTCACGTCCCCTCGGGAAGGGGGGGGGGGGGGGGGGGGAGGGGAGGAGAGGAATGGGGGGTTTCACGTGACCTTCCAGAAAAAATTTTCCGCTAGATTTAGCGCGGAAATTTTTCCGCTAAATCTAGAGGGGGCAATTTTTCCGCTACATTTATCGGGAAAACTTTTCTGCTACATTTAGCGGGGAAATTTTTCCGCTAGATTTAGCGGGGAAAATTTTTGCGCTAGATTTAGTTGGGAAATTATTCCGTTCGATTTAGCGGGAAAAGTGATTCGCTAAATTTAGCGGTGAAATCTTTCCGCTAGATTTAACGGGAAAATTTCCGCTAGATTTAGTGGGGAAATTATCCCGCTAAATGTAGCGGGGAACTTTTTCCCCAAGATTTAGCGGGAAAAATTTTTCCCTTAGATCTAGCGGGTAAATTTTTGCGCTAGATTTAGCAGGAAATTTTTGCGCTAGATTTAGCGGGAAAGTTTTCCGCTAGATATCGCGGGGAAATTTTTCCGGTTGATTTAGCGGGGAATGACTGAAAAGGAAACATCGCACCCTCAAAACAAGCACTCTAACCGTTCATGCACACAAAAAAAAAGAGCCACTTACACAGCGCTCACTGGCAACTTTACATTATATTTACAATATTCGTTTTCGTCTTTCTTTGGGACTAGGGTTTCTATGGCAATAAATTGCACTTTTCTTCTTCCTTCTTTTTCCTGTGTTTTTGTAATAGGAAGCTAAACCATAAAATTATTGTATGGCTAAGTACTCTAGTTCTTTGTTGGATAACGTTATGGAAGGAGTGCTGACACATCTCTCCTTTTGGCTGGCAACGTTCTCTGCTTCCATGATTTCTCTTGTCAACTTGTCGTAGTTCTTGCCTAACACTGTGCATTTCTCCAGCTGCGTTGTGCAGCCACAGTCTCGGCACTGAATTCCCAGGTGTCCGGAGTTTTTTTTGGTGATAGTGTAGTTCTGCTCACGAAGGCGATCGTTGACGCACGGTCCGGTCTGTCCTATGTATTGTCGTCCACAGGATAGAGGGAAGGAGTAAACCACCTTTTAGGTACACTGTACGACGTTGTTTTTATGTTTCTTCGTGCACTTGACTGTGGTTCTTGTGAATGTATTTACTCTCTTGCACAGGCTATGAAGTTTGTTAGGGGCTGAGAAGACGATGTCCAGGTTAACTCTATTAGCTATTTTCTTTAGAACGTGGGAAAAGTTGTGAATATATGGCACAATGATCGGTTTCTTGGCCCTGTCCTTTTCTTTTTGTTTAATGTGGTCCCCTTGCTTGATGACTTTGATGAGTCTTTTGGCCACTGATGTTAGTAAGTGGTTGGATGTCCTCCGCATTTTAATCGAGAGACTTGCCCGTTGAATCTTGTTTGCATGGAATGGTAGCATGATTTTGTAAGTGCGTTGTTGAGACTTAACCGCACAATGCTCCGCTTAACAAGTTTCGAGTGCGCCGAGTTGAAAGGTAGAAGTGGCTTTTTCCCCCTGGGCTCATAGGACCAGCATACATGATAAGGTAAAATAAAAAGTTGCAGATCCAGGAATCTTAACGAGTGATCAACTGGAAGTTCGTGCGTAATGTTTAATTGGTTCATGCACCTATTAAAGCTGTCTAGAACTTCGGCAACCATGGTTGTAAAGTCGTGATCATCTGTTTCTAGTACGATTAAATAATCGTCAACATACCGGAAGACTGATAACTATAGAAGCATCCAAGGTGTGCCCTAACTGCCTGTCTTGGTGGGCAAGATAGAGGTCGCTAATGACAGGGGCAATGCATGATCCTATGCAGACGCCCTGCTTTTGTATGTAGGTATGACCATCCCAAGTAGCGAACGTGGATTTGAGACAGAGGTTAATCGAGTTCAAAAATTCTCCTTGGAGATATGCCTGATGCATTCTGGAATGAAATAGTGCCATAGGTGTCTATGCGTTCCTCAATGCACTTTAGGAGACGGTCTTGGGGCAGTGCATAGTAGAGGTCCTTAATAACGATGGAGAACATTTGTAGATTTTTTCGGCTCTGATGCTCATGGTAGAAGGTGAAGACGTCGTAGGAACTTCTGATCAGGTACGGGTCGTCAACGGTGAGCATATTCAGTCTTTCTTGTCAATATTATTTTCTATCACAATAGCCACCTTAAAGAATCACTGCTATCACCTCCCCATCGTATTTTCCCGCGTCTAGATCACCTATGTAAATTACGTCCAATTCGATCATCAACTGTTTCTCACCAGACTTCCACACTACCATTGGCCATCGAGGATTGGAATTCACTACCTCATAACATCGTTTGTATTAATGATACTACTAAATTTGTTGAAGCCATTACCCTCTTTTTATCTAACCTACCTAGCTAGCTTACAGTGTTATAATTGCGTTTACTGTTCTATTTGTTTTTGTTCTATTGCCACCCCCTTGTATAATGCCCCACGGGCCCTCAAGGAAAATAAATGATGATGATTAGGCCACAGACTTTTGCCACGTTCTCCATTCAGAAATGATAACTCCAAGGGGACAGTTTGTTTTATGAGTTTTTGCGCTGAAGAATAATTCTAAGCTCAACTTTTTACTGCGATCAATATAGGAGCAGAGTTGTTTTAAATCTTGCGATTGGCAAAATTGTTTAGCTTCCCTTTTCACCTTTCCTAGAGAAGTCTCGTTGCGGCTGCAGAAAACAGATTCGATCGCTGTTAATGCCTTTTCTCGAAATGTGTCCTTCTGCATGAGGACTCTTTCCCTCTATCCTGTGGACGACAATACATAGCACAGACCGGACGGTGCGTCAACGATCGCCTTCGTGAGCACAACTGCACTATCACCAACAAGAACTCCGGACACCTGGGAATTCACTGCCGAGACTGTGGCTGCACAGCGCAGCTGGAGACATGCACAGTGTTAGGAAAGAACTACGACAAGCTGACAAGAGGAATCATGGAAGCAGAGAACATTGCCAGCCAAAAGGAGAGATGTGTCAGCGCTCCTTCCATAACGTTATCCAACAAAGAACTAGAGTACTTAGCCATACAATAATTTTATGGTTTAGCTTCCTATTACAAAAACACAGGAAAAAGAAGGAAGAAGAAAAGGGCATTTTTTTTGCCATATAAAGCCTAGTTCAAAGAAAGACGAAAACGAAAATTGTAAATATAACGTAGAGTTGTCAGTCAGCGCTGTGTAAGTGGCCCTTTCTTTTGTGTGCATGAACGGTTAGAGTGCTTGTTTTGAGGGTGCGCTGTTTCCTTGTCAGTCATGAACAACAAAATCGCCCGAACCTCCGTTTTAGCGGGGAAGTTTTCCCGCTAGATTTAGCGGGGAAATTCTTCCGCTAGATTTACCGGGGAAATTTTTACGCTAGATTTAGCGGGGATATTTTCCCTAGAATTAGTGGGGAAATTTTTTCGATAGATATAGGGGGCGAATTTTTCCGCTAGATTTAGCGGGGAAGTTTTTCCACTAGATTTAGCGGGGGAAGTTTTTCCGCTAGATTTAGCGGGTGAATTTTCCCGCTAGATTCAGTGGGGAAATTTTTCCACTAGATTTATTGGGGAAATTCACCCATAATGCACCGCGATTTTACGCCGACGCCGATGCCGACGTCGACGGCGACGCCGCTCAAGACGGAAACGGGCGCCTAAGAGCTGCGCTCTAACAACCCGGTGAATAAAACTCGAGGGATCAGGCCTGAACATAACTAGAAATATCCTGCCTTCTTCGGCAGTCAGGGACAACAAGAACTGAAAGCCGTTTACAAGCCCCTGTAACGCCGGATTAGAGCCCAGCTCTTGAGGAGGAGGATGGAAGGGCACTGAGGTGTAGGTGACTCCCTTAGGTCACGTGACCTCGGGGGGGGGGGGGGGTCACGTGACCTGCAAGGGATCACATGACCTAAAAAGGTCACGTGACCTCAGGGGGTAACGTGACATGAGGGGATCACGTGACCTGAGGGGGTCACGCGACTTCAGGGGGCCACATGACATTAGGGGGTCAATGACATCAGGGCCGGTTTGCTCATCTTGCGGCTGCGGCTGCGGCCGCGCACAAGAGGGATTTTCACGTCACGTGACCAGCTCCATGGGGACAAAGAAGTACCTAGCGTCCCTGCCTAATGGCGGAGAGATCCGCATCGCTTCAAGCACAAAAGCCTAATGTCGCTCGCAGGAACTGATTGCAGGGACTTTCAACTGAAGTCCAATTGACCGCCCCGTTATACTGTAGGAGCGGCAGGTAAAGTTACGGCCAGGGAGGGTAAATAGGAGCCCAAAGAAAGAAAAAAACACACGAGATAAAAGCGGTGGCAGCATATTTATCTACCTCTGCCGGCGCCGGCGCCTCGCGCGTTCTGCTGTGGTCGAGAGGTTAAACCGCCGGTACTTGTCGTCGCGGCGTGAAAGTTCCGGGTTCAAATTGCACTAGGGGCTTCTTTTTTTTTTCTTTTTTTGTATTTTGCGCGTGTCTTACTTTTTAACTGTGATCCTTTTTAGGAAATCATCCACTTGCACTACTGCACCTTAAACGGTTTTTACTGTTAGTCCCACCTGTTCAATCGAAACACCTGGAAGAAAAAAAAAAAAGGATCAACGCAAGTTAACGCGTTACTAGAATCATTTCATAATGTTCATTAAAAGGAAATCAAGATAACAGCATCGCTATGGCTTTCACACTAACGGAGCCGAAACAAGCATCCTTTCCCCAGCAACTAGTTTTATGTGTTTTTAAATATACAACGCTCTTGCTACGATTCCTTTCAATAACAAGAGATGCCTATTTAGGACTAATAAAAACTGCAGTTGTGACAATTAAAAAAAAAGCCTAGCAACTGTGGCTACACTGATTGACCGAAATCCTACAGGCAAGGCAGCAAGTCAAACGTCTAAGAAAGTAGTAAAACCGAAATAAAAGCGATCATACTTTTACTTGCATGGAATGTGATAAAAAGTATATTTATACTCTTTACATTTTGTTGTGGCAATCGTTTTGTAATAGTACCACATTACTTGTTGAATTTTAGTTAGATTAGCGGACGATCACGACCGAATGCAAAAATGAATCAGGCGTCGACATCGCAAACCCTCTCTCTAATGCAAACACCAAAAATGACTTTGGAACAACAAATGGAATTCATTATAATTAATTCCATTTATGATCCAAAGTCATTTTAGGTCCCTCAGTCTAATTCAAACTCCTAAAATGACTTTGGATCAACAAATGGAATGAAATGATTGTATTAGCGCGTTAACTTGCGTTCGTCTTTTTTTTTCTTCCCGATGTTTCGATTGAACAGGTGGGACTAACAGAAAAAAACGTGTAAGGCGCAGTAGTGCAAGTGGATGATTTCCTAAAAAGGATCACAGCTAAAAAGTAAGGCGCTCACGAAATACAAAAAAAAAGCAAAAAAAAAAGAAAGAAATCCTTAGCGCGATTTGGACCCGGAACTTTCACGCCGCGACGACAAGTACCGGCGCTTTAACCTCTGGACCAATGCAGAAGGCGCCGGCGCCGGCGGAGGTAGATAAATATACTGCTACCGCTTTTATCTCCTGTGGTTTCTTCTTTATTTTGACTCCTATTTACCCTCCCTGGCCGTAACTTTACCTGCCGCTCCTACAGTATAAAGGGGCGGTCAATTAGATTCCAGATGAAAGTCCCTGCAATCAGTTTCTGCGAGCGAAATTAGGCTTTTGTGCTTCAAGCCATGCGGATCACTCCGCCATAAGGCAGGGACGCTAGGTACTTCGTTGTCCCCATGGAGCTGGTCACGTGACGTAAAAATCCCTCCTGGCCGCAGCCGCGACCGCAGCCGCAAGATGAGCAAACCGGCCCAGGGGTCCCCGTGACCTCAGGGGGTAACCCTCATTACCCTCGTGAGGGTAACCCTATTGACTCTCGTGACCCTCGTGAGGGTAACCACCGTGACCCTCGTGACCCTTGTGAGGGCAACTCTCATGGCCCTTGTGAGGGTAACTCTCACGACCCTCGTGAGAGTAACTCTGGTGATCCTCGTGAGGGTGACTGTCATAACCCTGGTGAGGGTAACGCTCATAACCCTCGTGACCCTCGTGAGGGTAACCCTTTTGAGGGTAACTAACCTTCGTAACCCTCGTGAGGGTGACAAGAGTTTTCAGGGTTATTCTCACGAGGGTTACGAAGGTAACCCTCGTGATCCTCGTGAGGGTAACCCTCGTGAGAGCAACCCTCGTTATTCTTCACGAGGGTTACGAGGGTTGCGCGCGGTTATGCCGACGGCGATGCCGACGCCAACGCCGACATGACATCAGGGGTCATGTGACCTCAGGGGGATCACGTGACCTCAGAGGGTCACGTGACCTGAGGGGGTCACGTGATCCAGGGTGTCACTTGACATGAGGGTGGTGACGTGACCCCAGGGGGTCACGTGACTTGAGGGGGGTTACGTGACCTCGGGGGGTCACGTGACATCAGAGGTCATGGACACCAGGAGGTCACGTGATTTCAGGGGGGTCACGTGTCCTCAGGGGGTAACCCTCATGACATTCATGAGGTTAGCCCTCGTGAACCTCGTGAGGGTAACCCTCGCGACCCTCGTGAAGGTAACCCTAGTAACCCCCGTGAGAGTAATTCTCGTGACCCTCGTGAAGGTAATCCTCGTAACCCTCGTGAGAGTAAACCTGCTAACCCTCGTAACCCTCACGAGGGTTATGAGGGTTATTTATCTTCAAAAGGGTTACCCTCACGAGGGTTACGAGGGTTACGCACAGTTATGCCGATGGCGACGCCGCTCAAGCCGGAAACGGGCACCTAAGGGCTGCGCTCTAAAACAGAGATAAGCAGCAAGCTTGTTTCCACATCTAAATAAAACGAAAGATAAATAAAAATTAAACACCTTTACAATCCCCTGTAACACAGAATAAGAACCCATCTATTGAGGAGGAGGAGAAGAAGGTTCGGAGAGGAGGCTATGCCTATCCTCTTCATTTGTATCCTCCCCTCCTCCTCTTCTGCTCGCCTCCCATTTAGCGCCAAACTTTTCGGTAAATTTTCCGGTAAATTTAGCGTGGACATTTACATATAATGCAACGCGCGGTGACTTTACGAGTAACGTCACTCGTGACCCTTGTGTTTTCACACGGAACGTCACGTTCGACGTCATTCCGAGAAACATCCCATAATGCACCGCGCGGCTACGCCGACGCCGACGCAGCTCAAGCCGAAAACGGGCGACTAAGAGCTGTGCTCTCAAAAAAATATCAGCAATTGATTAAATGGCTCGCAGAAAACGCCCCTCCGCGTGGAAGTACAGGCAACGATTAAAAAAAATATTATCCCTCATTTTTTTTGTTGATTTTGCAAATTTCTACAAAATGACAAAAACGCTGATTTAAGAAAGCCTTTTGGGATAAGTCACCTCGTTGGTTTGGTGTTTTGAACACGATTAAGCGTCAATAAACCTCAAGACAGCAAAACCAGCGTAACAGGTGTTCTGGGCAAGACAAGGAGTGATAAAACAACAAGGTCACGGCATTCACCTCCTTTTAACGCCATAGCGTTAAGAAGTTCGTGTTGCGGAGGAAGCGGCGCCGGTGGCGTGACTGGAAAATGCTGATTGGTCGATAGGGTCCTTACGTCAACTCTACATGAACTCTCGCAAAAATTTCAAACAACCCGAAACCCTCAAAGCTCACGTGAAATGTGATGTCACGCTTGAGATAAAAGCCATTGAAACATGACATGTAATGCAAATTAAAGATCGCCGCACGTCTCGAATGATTTCACTTAAAAAAAATATCATGTATTGGCCTTAAAGAAAAAAAAAGGATTTTTGGGCGTGGTTGGAACCCATGACCCTTCGGTTCCAAGCCGGGCACGCTACTGGTTAGGCCACGCACGGTACGCGTGCTCGGTTTGGGAAGGGGCGGATCTTGTATGTTTAAATGCGTGCCGGTTATATGCGTGCCCGCTTTTCCGAGCATGAAAAGCGAATGAGAAGGGGATGCGAACGGAGCCCCATGACGCTATGGCGTGTCACTCGTAAGGGCGAAGTTTAAGCGTCCTCCAAATGTTGTGCTTGTGCTATGATCGGCTCAACTAATCAACTACGGTGAAGGAACCACGACCTTGAGGTTGAAGTATACCTGTTCGTATTTGTATGTATTAACCGCGCTCTGACCTGTTATAAAAAGAAGTCTAGGGTTTTACTGGCTGGTTTTAGAAAACGAACAATTTAAATAATGTCTCAAACTTATTTATACCTCTGATTTGAAATAAGAGCAAATAGAAATGCTTAGCTGAACGCCAAATTTCGATAATCATTTACTATTTACCGTGTGACTTAGCTAGTAGACTAGGACAGAAGCATGCTAATCTGTGGCCTCCAACAATATCTGGACTACCTGTTAAGACGGATACGATATGTGCAGAATGAGTGTTTGGAAATAATGGCGCAGGTACGGGTTGCAAGCTCTAGCTCGATTATTTGGCCACAGAAAACAAGAAGGAATTTTCGGGAAGGCTGACTCACCGCCTAAACCAGAAAGAGAGTTATTAATATAACATACAAAACTAAATCAAATATTCGTTTTTATCCATAGATGTATCTTCTTTTATGATTTATGCTGTTTGGCTAATCATTTTACACTAATTTTATCTTCAATAAATAAACAGAATATTGCGTAGAGCTTGATTGTTCTTACGATGTAACCAAGGTGACGAGGTCTCCGGGAAACTTGATCCTTGCGGTGTTGACTTTCCAGGCTAACTTAAGCAACGCTGGTCGCAAAAGGACATATCTTTTATTGTAGCCGGGCGGCTTGGCATAATCTTGAGCCACAACTGTTTTAATCTTAAGAAAAATGCGTTGTTAAATAACACAAGCCTTATCAACGCACATCGAACAATGTTTACTTCAGAGCTACTCATAAAAATAACATACCCCTGATATCTCAAGAACAGCAACCAGAACAAATTGAACTTTTGGATCCGAAGTGACGTCATATCGCATGTTGATCTAGACAGAACGCGTGGTAAATATTAGAACGTGTTTTCTATCAGCAAACAATAGAACTACTGTTTTCAACAATTTCCAGCCTCACCCGACGGCAGAAATGAGCCTTCAACTAAGTGTTGTAGATGACAAACCGAGTCAGTCAGCACTGCAAATTATAACTATTAAGATAAATTCAGTTACGAAATTTTACAAGCTGAAACAGCTCTTATCATGAGAAAACTCACACGCACATTGCGAGCGTACCCTATGTTCATCGGCGGTACAGCGTTCTGTGCGCGCTCCATTCACGAAATGTTCCGAGCGAAGTCGAGAGGATGGCGTTGAGGAAACGCCTTTTTGGTTTACGGACGCAATCCACTGCCGCCGGAGACAGGGGTCAACTGGAAAGCGATGGAGCTCAAAGACATTGCAGCCGCTCTCACCTTGCCGGGTTCCTTGCAAGCTACATATGTCCTCGGAGAGTATTCTATGCTTTCTGTTTTTATTCCTGCACCCTATGACCCAGCAATGGTGTCCCGATAAACGGGGGACTGCTGCCATCGAAGCCTCTGGCTCTAATTAAGTTTGCGAGTTTAAAAAGGGAAAGAAAGCGCGAACGAAGTTCGGGCACAGCAGACACCCAACACCGGCGAAGCCTCTCATCCGGGACTTTCGCTCTTTCTACACAATCAGAAAGGGGGAAAGCGAAGGTAGCCCTTTCCCCTTTTCTCTCTCGCCCTCTTTCAGTAAAACGGTCAATACACTGGTAAGTAATATTCTATTCTCGTGGTTTCCGGATTCTTTTTCAGCAGAAGGCGAGTGATTTCAGACTTTGGACTAAGAAAAGAAAAGTAAACTCCCTGTTTTTGAATTTTTGCGGAAAAGAAAACACGGAGGTCCTTAACTAGTAAAATACTCCCATTGAAAACAAAAGCTTATTTATATAACCAACATGCTGTAATACTATATAGAGGAACAATATGGATGCATGACCCGTTAGATGCATTTTTCTCAATGACGGGAGAGCAACTGAATATGATATTTGGTAGTTGAAAGGTTTTTGCGAACCATACTTTTACCTACTTGCTTACACTTTCGGATTGCACGAAAATTAGATTTTTTCTTACCTGTCGTAATAAATGCGTCAATAATCGATATTTGAATCAAGTTCATGTCACGCGCAAAACTGGCAACGTTGCTCTTGTTTTATGTTCATAATACGTGTTCGAGATAGGAAGATTATTTTGGATAAATCAAAATATAAAAGGTCCTCTTATGAAAAAATCTAATTTTAAGATGTTTACACGGACGAGTACTTTTTATTGTATTATGACGAATGAGTCGTACGGGTACATATGATTTTTTTCAGCAGGTTTTGGTGTTGCTCTCCTCCTGGTAATAAGGAGCTCACGAAACAAAAATATTTTGTGTTATCCCTCTTGTCGGTTGTCTCCTGGTTTTCTGAATTTTATAAAGGATTCAATTTGGTTCACTATTGTTTTTTTTTTCTTACATACACCAATAAATAAATGTACGCCTATACACTTTCATGGTCATTTTACGCAAATGCACTATAGAAAAAAGCTCGAAATTAATCCACAACAGACACGTTTATAAATTCTGCATGACCACGTTTCGATGTCTTCTAGGAAGACGTGCATTTTTTATAGGATGAGTTCTAGTACAAATATTTGTTTTTGTTTTTATTTTCTTAGATGAAATGCACCTTCGGAAAATGAGGATTTTAGCTGATACCTCTGCTTGAAGTCAATGATTTGCAAAGTGGAAATTCAAGTTCGCTGCTGGCTAAAACAAGTTTGCCAACAACAAGATATGTGTTGCAGTATTGTAAAGAAAGATAAAATAAAAACATTTTCGTGCAATTGACCATATCGAGCATTACCTCATGCACAAATTGAAAAAAAAAAGAATCGCAATAAACAATCCCGAACAAATTTCTATCATTAACAACACCTACACTTGCTTCCCCACCAAGATAGCCACTCGATCGCATACCACGATTTCCGAATTTCTTTTAATGTTTTATGCTTAGTAATGCTAACTTTGCATATCTGCGCCTCTAGCTTTCTTTGTAAACCTTATACAACATTTAATTATCGCAGATCCGTCGCGCATAATGTTTAAGAAAAGATAAAATGAATATATTACATAGAAAGGTAAACATTAACCTTGCCCTGAATAAAGCAAGCTCTCTTATATGTGGTGCTCGGCATTGCTTTATGATATTTTATAAGGTTCGGCAGGTTGTAGTTTTTCTTGGTCATCACTAAACAATATTTTGACCGTATATAAAACTGCGTATCATCTTCTGTATTGTGCCTAACGAATGGAGATATTAAAAAATAAACTTCCACAAAGAGTTAATCTTGAATATTGGGCGAAGCTTCTTTGTGTGATTGCTCTCAAGGCAAGCCACATTTAAATAATGTATTTCTTCGTCATGACCAGCACAGATCGTGTGAGGGTAAGTAGGACAACTCTACAGTTGCTAATAACTCTCTAATATTATTTCTGAATTATGGGAAAAAAAGCATTCAGAAACAGCTTAAGCTGCTTTTTTCGCACGTCATGAGTAGACAATAATGTGACACACAGAAAACTAAAACTTGCACGATAAACTTCACCAAGTAAGACGTCATACCAATTGAACAGTGAGTCCAGCATATTGCAAGAGGCTTTCTTTAGTCTTAAATTGCTTTCTGTGGTGCTGATCGAACACCATTGCCACCTCGACAAAGAAAACGCTCGGAATTTGTGTGGCTGATTGGTTTCCTGAAAAAGAATATGTCATCAAAGGGTCCATTCGAAGGTTTAAATTGAAGTACATAGAACGTTTGATACGTTTCATAAATTTGCAAGTGATATTTCAGTGACAAGTAAATGTTATTCACAAGTGAATAGCACTCCACGTGGTTCGATGCGAGCCCTAACTTATAGCCCCTTCACCGGGCAAATACCGAGCGCTCAGCGCTGGCGGTCGTCGAGCGGTCGGCCTGCGTGAGCGATCGGTCACGTGATCTATCCCAGTGGCACGCGTTGCGGAGCAAAATTGAGCGTAACGCTCCCAGCGCCACCGCTTACAGAGCGTCTGCTCTCGCTTTTGAACAGCTTAGGCTTTCACTGTTATCTTGCTGAAAGCATGAAGTTTAGAACTGAAGTTTATGCTTTGACAAAAAATTTATTATTTATTACTTGATTAGTGGTGACCCCGACGTTAAGACACAATTTTTGTTTTTACAGTTATAAAAGCCCGATAAAGACAACCAGAGGCACTTGTATGAGCCGTTGGATGCTATTAAGCAATACCAAACACGTATGCATCACTAAAAAATAGCGCAGGGACGACGGTGATGTTTACCCAACTGGCGCACCAGGTGATTTTAATGCAAAAACGTATGCCGTAAAGCGATCGTCATCTCCGAAGGCGACTTCCATCTGCGGAGTATTTGGCGTGTTGTCTCCTAATTATTCTAATCACATCACAGAGACCACTTCCGAATAGGCGCGCTCAAGCCTTCGACGTAACGCGTCATCTTGGGCCTCTTCGCTGGCCAGGCAAACGACGCGGCAAACACTTCGCTGGAACGGCTGCCTCGTCGTCACTCGAGCGGCAGCTAAGCTAATATCTTCGTCGCTGTCACAGCGCTTTATTAGACCTCCTGAAATTAACTGCAACGATGGCGTCGCCGTAGTATGCTCGGGCGAGTCGGTCATGAGGGGGGGGGGGGGGGGGGGCGAAAGCAATCACAGCAAGAAAGCCCACCCAGCAATCGAAAAAAGAGAGCCGCGAAACTCCTTCGCTCCCCCGTGGGAATGTCAATAACAGAACTGAAACGTTGCGAGTGACGACTGCAGATCGTACTCCTCCGAAAAGGGCTGAGCGGAGATCTACTCCGGACCGCTCGACGCGCTCCGCCACTTTTCCACGAAGCGGTTGGAGCCGCTCGGCGAGCAGAGAGCCCCACTGGCTCCGGATCTACAAGCGGCACACGGATAGATTGCTCCCCTTTAGCGAGGGAAACAGGAATACGCCCTGCGAGCACGCGCCGAGCGCTAGCTATTTGCCAGGGGAAGGAGCTATTACTCATAAACCAAAAGTTATCTATAAGAATAACTCTCGCAGTTAGAGAGAGTTTTGCTACTCTTATAAGCAGACTACCTGGGTTCTTACAAATCTTTCAAGCCGTTTTTGAAGTGCGCTATTCAAATAATAAAAACTATTTCATAACAGCAACCTATCATGGCGAAAAGGACGCTTCGTCGATAGACTTAATGAAAAAAACAGTGGTCCTATCAAGACAACAACATCTTTGTCACGCCCGTATCGGAAGTAATTCTTTCTGTCACCTTGCGTCGTAAGTATTGTCTAGTACCATCACACTTTTTTATGCCACCCTTTTTTTATTTATATAGCTTGGTGACCTTCATCTTACACATGGATGTGGTCATTTCAAAATCCCGGAGTTTTCGCTCTATTAGAAATTCCTTATATTAGAGTGTGCGACACAAGTGGAACACACTGGAGGGGGAAAGGTGTTTATATTTTTTGTCGAAATATAAAGTAATTTTGAGCACTGTCCAGTAAAATTAACTGATGTAGGGCATTCACCTACACGACGACCTTCGCTTCTCGACAATAAACTGTAGAAATACAACTAGAAGCACTGATACCGTGCTGGGGATGACAGGGTCCCACTGTTAAATTATTTCTTTTGGTCAGATAGGATAATTCAAATCCCTCCGCATTACGGAAATATCTAATGTGACCCTGTCACAGTTGGAACATTAAACCCTTGGATATATAAGACTATCGAATTTTTTGTCTCTAAAAGATGACTTTACTCACGTCGTCTCCCGAAGGCGTTCCGTTCTGCAGGTGCTGTAAAACAGAATAATCAAATGTGTACTAATTCTTAGATAACGGCACCACGAGCTTGAGGGATGAATAAATAAAAAAAGTAAAAATGCAACTTTGACAATTTTCTTTTCGTTTCGTTTCACCCAAAGAACCGTGGCTCGGTTTATAGCAAGGGTCGCAACTTTAATTATACGTTGGAAACTGTAGAAACTTTAAGGTTGATCGAGAAGTTTCTATAAAAAGAGGCATAAGATTGCTGATGGGAGTTAATCGCATCATTATCGCCTGCTTAGTTTACAGTACGTTTTTAGGTGCAGGTAGATGTTCGCCCAATAAAACATTTATCTTAAGACAACCTCTCAATTCGAGGCAGTTGCATTGTCAAATATCATTAAACTGAACATATTATTCATAAACGAAAATTGTTGTAAATGCGAAAAAAAGGTTGGTGGCCTCATTTTGTTCACAACTGTCGCAATCATGCTTCCTATGGCCATACGTGAAGATGCATTAGTTAACATGCTTGGTTATATAGGTATTTTAATAATTATGATATACGGTTAAAACAAAACATTTCCCGCCATATTTATGCCTAATTTAAAAAAAAGGAGCACTATAAGCCGCTCTTATCACGCGTTAAAACCATATATAAATCAGTGGGTAAGCAGATTAAAAGCCTTTGTGCTTTAACTAACGATATAAAACCTTACTGGGTTCTCATTTAAACATTCTGCCTTATTTCAAGTCGTGTCGTACTTTCCTTTTTTTGGCTGGTGATAAGAAGGAAAGGAAGCAAGTCATTTAGTAGTAAAAGTGCTACGTTGTTTCTCACCTATAAAATCATTTTTGTATTCCTCCGCCTCCTCAATTTCAAAGATTCTGTGTGCCCCGCATCCAGCTTCACAGCGTCCCATCAGTGGCAGAGGAGCAATCCTCAATGTGCGGCCCAAGGCCCCGGTCTTTGAGTAACATGAAAGTGGTTTATGAAACTTGCTTCTTGGAATAATAATGTATAATATTATTTTTACTCAATAATCTTGTATGTTCCGTTAACCCCCAAAAGCTTGTGTCCAGAGTAACATGTTTCAAGATGCAATAAGAAGTGACATAGCTCAGGATCTGTTCTACATAAGATATAGAAGAAGCCTGAAAGGAACGAAGTTTCAACATAAAACACCAGCAATCACAATAAAAATATGAGGCAATCAACCCAAACCCGCCAAGGGCGCAAATACATTCTACTTAAAAAAAAAAAGAAACTTGGCTTAGTGGCGCATGCGGTGTCTTTTGGGGATATTTTTTGTTCATCTTTTGTACTTTGAAAATATGTCATCTGTACAATATATTTCTAACTCCGGGTTTGTTTTGAAAATCTACAGAGATTAAGTTTGTAATCCGGCGCAAAAAAAAGGCTTATAGGATGAAGTGTCCCTTTTCAAAAGTCCACGATGACTTAATTACTGGATAACCCGTTTCCAAAAACTCGAAAGCAAATGAAAATAGTTTGATGGAAGTCAATGTAAATTAACTTTTCTTCGTGTTGAAAAACCTAGTACAGATTTCAAAGCTTTTTTGTTTTTTAGTCGAGCTGAGAAAAAAAGTATTATGAGCAAGCTAATCTGTGTTAACGATGCAGCATAAAAGGGTATGGAATGTAGACATCAAAATGCTCGCTTTTAATTTGATCGTGGTCTTTCATTATTGGCCGAGATTCAAAAAAAAATCTACGTTAAAGAAGTGTTTCTGATTGCATGCGCAGTTGAGTCAACCTTTCTTTGTATACACTTCATTGGGCATGCTTTCTATTTTGTATGAACAGACTGATGCAGTTTCATGTATTGTGAAGTTATTATATTGTTAAATAGCACGTTTCTGTGGTGCTTGATAATATTTTCGCAATATTTTGGTGAACTCTTCTTACGCGCCTGTTATAGCAGATAGATTACATAGTTGAGTTCTTTTTTCGGCTCATGTGGCTTTTGAATAAAATGAAATTAACGCTGTTGAGGGACCACGTCATCCAGAACTGACAGGCTGTGACGACCTCGACCATATGTATTGAATGAATATATGTATATATATATATATATATATATATATATATATATATATATACATATATAATGGGAATGAGTGAAGATTGACAAGTGCAGCCGTAGTAATATTTTGAACGAAGAGGGGAGAAGGTGAATATTGAATTTATTGCATTTGAAATAAACTGGTTTCGGCATTTGCATGTCGGTTCCGACGTTTTGCAAGCTGAGATGACGTGCCACGTCACTGCCGCATGTCGGAAATAGCGCGGGCCTTAAATCAGCAACGGTTGACGTCTACCAGGTTAAGCGAATTCGAAACTACACAGTACACAGAGAACTGGTCAGAAATTGAGTCCGCCGAAACCAGTGGCCGGGATGGTCTAATCGGTTAAGGCGTCGCCCCGGACAGGCGAAGGTTGCGGGTTCAATCCCCGCTCCTGGCCCAATTTTTCGCCAGCTCTCTGGCGAAAAACTCGCGATCGAGGAACACGCAGAGGATTGCGTTAGAACCCCATGTATCAACGTTCACACAAAAAACAAATTAAGAAAATACCTACAAAATGTTATGCCCCGAACAACAGCACGAGCTTGTGGCGGATTAGTTCAAAAAGAATAATTTTTAGGTATTTTAGTGTAAATATTTCTTTATAGTTTTGTATACGTTAAATTACCAGTAGTAACCTTTATTAGAACAACTGGTTTATGTATGTAATAAGTTTATCGTGCTCTACTTTGGGCCACTGAATGAAGAAGCAAACGCGCAAGGAAGTAGTTTACACTAAAACACCGTTGGTAGTCAGCTGTTTGTCCTCTTTTGTCCTTCCTTTATTCGTGATCAAGTATTGTTTTTAAATTCAAGGTGATACATTTACAAGTATGTACTGTAGGGCTCGGTGCTACCGCTCACCCGAAGGAAGGACCAACGAGGCAGGTCTCACAACACACACCTTTTCTCTTTGCTTGCGGCGTACGAACTGCCCGAGCCCAAGCGTGGCTCGCGCGAAGGTTGCGCGCCGGTCGGCTAGCCCGAGTTTCTTTTAGAGCGCAGCTCTTAGGCGCCCGTTCCCGGCTTGAGCGGCGTCGGCGTCGCCGTCGGCGTCGGCGTAACCCTCGTAGCCCTCGTGATCCTCGTGAAGGTAACCTTCGTGAGAGTAAACATCGTAACCCTCGTAACCCTCGTGAGGGTTACAAGGGTTACAAAAAAGTAACCTTCGTGAGAGTAACCATCGTAACCCTCGTAACCCTCGTGAGGGTTACAAGGGTTACGAGAGTTACTCTCACGAAGGTTACCTTCACGAGGATCACGAGGGCTACGAGGGTTACTAACTCTCGTAACCCTCACAAGGGTTACGAGGGCTAGTTACCCTCAAAAGGGTGACTTTCATGAGGGTCACGAGAGTTACCCTCACGAAAGTCACGAGAGTTGCCCTCACAAGGGTTTCTAGGGTTACCCTCACGAGGGTCAGGATGGTTATCCAGGTCACGAGACCCCCCCGGGGTCACGTGACCCCCCATTGACGTCATCGCCACTGATGACGTCATCAGTGACGTTACTGATGACGTAACCGGCATCCGCATCGTCATCGCCATCATCACTGATGGCGTCACCGACATCCGCATTGTCATCATCATCATCACTGATGACGTCATCAGTGACGTCACTGATGACGTCATCGGAATCCTCGCGTGACCCCGAGGTCACGTGACCCCCCGACGTCACGTGACACCCCAAGGTCACGTAACTTTCACAAGGTCACGTGACCCTCCCAAGGTCACATGACCCATCCCCCGCCCCAGTACCCTTCCCTCCTCCTCCTCAAGAGCTGCGCTCTAATTTGGCGTTACAGGGAGTTGTAAACTGCTTTCATTTTTTTTATTTTTTTTCTTAGCGACCGGCCTCTAAGCCCACAAGCCCACAAGCACCCCCCCCCCCCCCTCGTCCTTTTCTGCTGGTACGGCGGTTAGAGTGTCGGGGTCAGGACGGTCAAAACGGTCAAAACGGTTCATCGTGGTCTTCGATGTCGATTGCGTCCTTCGCCAGCGAGAGGGGGCCGGAGGAGGGCAGGTCTCAGGCTCCGGACGACCGCAAGGGCCCGAGCGTGGCTCGCGTGCATGGTGCGCGCCGGGCGGTAAGCCCGAGCTTTTTTTTTCTTTTTCTTAGCGACTGGCCGTGAAGGCCACAGTAGCCACTAACTCAACTATTAACCGTTGGTCTGCATAAAATTTCATTCTGTAATTGCACAGCATTTATTTATGAAATGTAACTTTTGTAAAATTATCCACATTTGCATTAAATTTTGCAATCTTTGCTAACTTGTAATGTTAGTTGCCATTAATGTTCTGTGAAAGTTGCCTTGTTTGGTGAAAACTAGGGTTGAATTGCTTCACGAGCTATGCGTACACAATAGGTATGGTGGTTAAGTGTTTTTTTTTTCGTCAATCAAATATAAGATATAATATTTTAAGAATGGCCATTAGTTGTACGCAGTAGTGATAAAACCCAGCCCCTTCGTCGAAAAAAACGTTGACCAGGGGCGGTATAGTTCGCATACATTAATGCAGCTCCAATGAATATTTTTATTATATTAGGAAGTATTTCGCTCTGAGATCATTAACTTCAAAATTGCCCATCTCATCTCAGAGGCATCATGAACAAGGGGGATGAAGGTGGTTTCAAAGCAGGGGCCAGCATATGAGATGTTTGAAGTCCCCTCCCCTTTCGTTTATCCTAAAAAGTTTACACATGCGAAATTTAAGGGCGGGGAGAGAAGGGAGGAGGGGGGGGGGGGGTCAGGACATCCAGAATCCCCCTCTGAATTCGCCAGTGATCACGGACAATGATGTTTAAACGTGGATCTGCTAAGAGTGGTGAATGTTGTGTTCTTACCACTTGCACAGTTCCGTTTTGCTCTGACAGAGACACAGCTGCCATCTGATTTTTATCGTGATAAATATTCTTTTCCACCTCCTTTCCGTCCACCTGTAAATAATAGATACGGATAGGAGCACTAAGTTTTTGTAAAATAATCACAATGGGACCATTTGTTTTTTTTTTTTGTTTTATCTGAATACACTAATTTACAAATACTTTAGGCTTGTGCGAACTTAGAAACGCGATAGTATAATTTTATTCAACGAATATTTTTTGGTTGTAGAATATTTTCTCTGTAAATTGTGGCTTATTATGCACCAATTGAACAATGATAGAACACGAGTTTTGTCTAATCAGTTTTCTAAGGTTGCTCGAAAGTTTTTTTTTACAAAACGTAAAAAAGACTTAGAAGTAAATAAATATATATATATATATATATATATATATATATATATATATATATATATATATATATATGTATATATATATATATATAGAGAGAGAGAGAGAGAGAGAGCGAGAAAGAAAGAGAGATAGACAGATCAACCACAATATTTAAAGTAAATTATATTTTTTTTCATTAGTTGCTCGTTTGTTTTTGAGTTGCGAGAATAAAAAATCCCCGGAAAGTATTTGTAATGTATGGACTGGCCTTCTTCGCATCTTAACTTCCTGTTTTGAGTTTAGACCCCTCCCGAGCCTCCATCCTTTGCCCTTCCCTCAAAATAATCCCCCATTTACCTGTTGCTGCTGGTTTACAGTTTTATAGTTCCTCTCTATTCCTCCTTGGTTTTTATTGGTTTGTACATTACATCATCACATAATCACCATCACTACACAAGGCACCGCGGGCCTCCTTGGTACGGGCTTTTGCCTTTCTGCGGTGCCGCGGCTCTCCTGAGCAAATAAAATATTATTATTATTATTATTATTATTATTAATTGAAGGTACACAGTTCACGCAGTAGTGCATAAATTAATCGTTTTTTTTTTATTTCGCCTCGTGCGAGAAGGTCGCAAAATAATGTTAGTTTTCGCGCAAGGCAGTGTCAATTCGATATGCGTTAACCTGAAGGCCCTTCGCGTGAGTTTCGCTTGGCTATGAAGACTCGAATGTTCTTGTTAGTAATCCTTATGCAGTAATTCAATTGCAACCGGTCGGCACTCTGGCGGCTCCCCAGCCCAGTTGCCCGACTGCGGTTCACTGGTGGCGGACTTTTCTGTGTGGCGGCGGAGTCAACCGGCCAGGCGCATATCACGCGCACCGCCTTGACAAGGTGGATTAGAAGGGTGCACAGGCGGTCGCTGCCTGCACCCATTCGCCACTGGTAATGATGTTAGTTTATTGATCGTATCGTCCTCGTCCAGTTAAATATAGCTTCATGTTGTTGAAACCGCCGGCTCTGTGTTTGTTCCCCGGGCCAAGTGTGCAGCGGGGCAAACCGACCACAAATCATACGGAAAAGTATAAGGTACCTCTACTTGAACCCACCCTCAAATCCTCCTGTGTAATAAACTTACGTCTTTGCGTAGAATAATCGAGCAGAAAAGCACCGCTTGAGAAGCGATAGCTTTGAGCGAGACGCCCATAAAGACTGAAATGCCTGTGCAACATGTTTTGTCTTTAACACACATAAAATAGTTGTTTTACTATATTAGTCATTGTTCCTGGCGGAAATGGCCTGCGGCCAAAGATAGTAGAAGTGCATGTATTGATATACTACTACTACTACCTCTGCTACTACTACTACTACTACTATAAATAACGTAATAACAATAATAATACTTTTTATTTTTGTGCCTAAAAACAACCACATCAGTCTTTTCCTCGGTGCACCAACCCAAACAATAAAACCAGCAAAAAATTCTAAACGCATAAAGTTAAGAGACAAATTTAGGATTATCCAAACGGCGACTGTACATTAAAACATATGCTCATTTATCAGGGCGGGGTGGAGCGATGGCCTCATATAATGACTGAATCCGAGAGAGAGTATAGGTATTGTAGAGTGAGCGAACACAAAAACATACAAAATGTCGGGTTAGACGTGAAAAAACATGAATTTCACCCTTTCAATGAACATCGGGGAATGAAATGCACCATTTGCAACCTATTGCAGAAAAAGTGTCTCGATCAGAGCTCCTAGTAGACAGAAAAGTTAAAATATTTGGCAAATATCATAAACAATTCGGATAAGAATTTTCTGAACATTTTCGAATGTTATAACTTGTGTCTTAGATATCGAGCTCCTTATGACAGAAGCAAACTCGAGTACTGACCTCAGTACAGATAGCGTTTTCTAACTTGCAACATTTATTTAACAAGACAAAGAAAGCAAATGTGAAGTTGAGAATTTTGGATAAAAATGCGAGTTCTTCCAGATTGTCTATCAAGTTAAACAAATATTTTGTAAATGCATTCTAGAAGATCGTGGTCGCTATTCAGAGTACCGATTAGGCCACACTTGCAAGTGTAGTCTACATGATTGGAGAGTTATTGTACATTCATGTAGAGATCAAGCTTGGTCTTTCGGCGTAAAAAAAATATAGCATATCAACGAAAAATACCAACCGTCATAATCTAAACCCTGAGATATTGAGAAATAAAATAATGTACAAGGCAAGTCAAAGCTCCTTAGATTTTGAACAGTCTTGTCTTTATTTTATTTCTCCGTGTCTTGGGATTTAGATTATAAAGTTCCCTAGCCAGCTTGCTTGCATGTTTTGCTTCTTGAAAAACAAACATAAAAAAAAAAATTTGAAGGTTGATAACAAAAAAGTAATTCCTTGAGATTGCACTTTTTGATACGTGGTTTTTACGCGAAATGGCGAAATTTTCAGCCAGCCTCAAGGTTTGTCGAATTGACTTAACATTTCTAAGCCACAAGAAAATGAAAACATTTCAAAGGCGGACGAAATAACGAACGCTAAGTTTTAGTCGAGTTAACTCTAATTTTTTACAGAATTAAAACTAATGTTGTGTTGAATGTAGAGTATATTGTTGCGAAATGTTTATAGAAAATATTCCTGTCATATACATTTTAGTGGCAAGCTGATTGGGTTGCTTGAAGTACTCAAGCATATATGAAACGCTTTTTGCACTTGGATGCCCATTCGCATTTGCTTTAATGAGTTTTATGTGTACAAAAGAGCAGCCTATGACCGACTAAATTGTGGTCGCAGCAATGAGCTCCGTTTGTGAAATTTCTGAATATTTTAAAAATATATCTGTTTAATAAATCCGAAAGAAGCGGTAAATACAGCCATGCATATCTGGAATTTAAAGTTTCTTTGGAGGGTCCTCGAAGTTTTGTTTGAAGTATCAGACGCAAACGTAATATATCAAATGATATTAGAAGCTTGGAAAACTAATTTATGAGTAAGAAAAGCTAATGAAATAAATAAATAAATAAATAAATGTCTTAATGGGGAAAATAATATAAGATAGAGAATATCACTGTAAGCAAAAATACATGTTTGAAGTCTAATTATTTTATGAGCTATCTATTCCAAAGGTGTGATTTCAGGCAGAGATGGCAGTGCAGTAATTGTGTGGTAATATATTTCCAAGCACAACAGCAATATATTTTTACTTGCAGTTAAATAAAAGCGAAATGTTCTCTTGCATTGGAACATGGGATGTTCAAACACTTCAGCATTTACAACTGCTGATTTCACAAAAAAATTATGAAGCTAAATTATGATAGAGATTGTTTTGAAATAATAAAAAATACCTTCACTACTTACAATCGTTTCTACTTGTTCAGCGCCATTAAGACTCGACACAACTAACTTTTCGGCGATAGCAGAGCTTTTCTCTAGACGGAGAGAAAGCTGTTCAGAGATTTGAAGGATTTTTTCTCCGTTGATCCCTCTTGCTTCCAGGAGTCTTGGATAAACAACATACTCTGGGGCTGGGCCTGCATTGTAGGTGATAAAAATGTAGTTTGTTTGCAGAAGTGCATGTGTATAATTGCAAAATTTCGCGGAAGTTTTTGTTGGTTTGGATCTACGTTATCATAAAAAACTTTTCAGTTTTTCTAAACGACTGGGCAATTCTAGTTTTAGTTTACAAACATGATACCACATAAAATGTGCAACCCATTATTGAACTGTACGTCAGAAGTTTCTTTAGTGAATGCTAAAGTTTTAATTGTTTTTGATGCATGGCTGACTCGCTGCATTCATAACAAATAAAAAGCTATTATTATGCAATTTGAAATGAAATAAACTCCGAGAATATTATGAAACCACCCAACTCTAGGTCCCCGAGGAAAACGTATGCTTTGTGAATATATGAAGAGAAAAACAGATATTTCAAACAGTGTTGTTTGAAATAATGGTTCTGGCTTCATCTTAAGTGTTTATTATTTCGGATGTATATAAATGTGTTCCCGTTTACTCCCGGCCATGAATATTAGTTATTTTTCTGACACACAGGAGTCACTGACCACCAAGAGAGAATGACAGTCCGCATCGTAATCTTATTGTGCTACTTTTAGAATTATAATGAACTTTGTTTTATTGAGGTACCACAGGAGCCGGAAAATATCATGATAATCTGACTCATTATGTTGACTTGTTTGCAGGCATTTTTGTCTTACGTTATATCATAAAACGATTGATTTGTTCTTTAGCGTTTTATCTATGTTGATTTGTTATTTGTATTTTTCTGGAGTGAAGGTTGAGCAGGGAAAACTGCTGGATGCCCAGGAACGTTGTAATAAACGATCTTCCTTTCGCATTTTTTAGCTTATCTGTCCCCGCTGTGAAAGTAAAGTGTATTAAAATATAGTGCCTTCTCGAAAATGCATCATTAATTCGCAATTCTGATGCGGACGAACGTAGAAACCAGCTCATCTGCGAACCTTGGTTCGACATCGCCAACACAAATACATACGACTTCTTCGAGCGGTATGTCAAGGCAGTCTGCGTGTTTTCAGCTCTAGAGGAGGTGACGCGAATCAGCGGGAAGGCCGTAAAGAAAAGAAGCAAACAGCATCAGCTATCCAGGTGTGTACTGAGGATTAACGATGCCTGGTACCCCCCGAAAACGCAGTTAAGTTTAGCCTTAAAAGGAATAAAAGTGCCGAAAATAACAAGGACGAAGACGAACTAATACAGTCACAAGGCGCAACAAGGACGCAGGCCCAAATAACCACTTTGCGAAAGGTGGGTTTTTCAACAAGATTAAATTAGCGATCAGAAGAGAAGTTGATTTCAATTTCGGTTTTATGCATCCGTCCTTTTTTACTCCAGGTGTCTTGTAGAAACGGATTAAAACCTACTTTTTGTGCCCAGACTACGTGAGAACCATGAGTAATGGTTTAAGCAGCTATGCACTATACTTATAATATTATTTCATACCTAGAAGGTTGAAACTAGCTTCATACTTTTATGTGAATTCAAAATAAACTACATTCATATGATTCAATTTTTTTCTTGTAAACGTTTGGATGCCCATGTTTCATCAAGCGAGTGCGTAGCCTAAAGAAACAATGAATACATGCCTTTTAACGGGCGCGATACATCGTTTCCCGAGCGCCATTCTGTGAAAGGTGAAGTGCCTTAGGCACAGTCGTGAAGGGACGCCTAGCGCAAGTACGTATGTAGTGAATCCAAGACACTTTTAAGGTCATTTGGAAGTGCGTAGATTGAATCCAGATGCGCTGGCTAGACGGTTTCCTGGTGCCTTTGGGCAGCTGAGGCAGCATGGTGTACCGTGTCCTTGTGGCATATGGTATTCTCGACGAACGTGCCGGAGGTTTTCAGTTTGAGCCTCAAGCCTTTCCTAGCTTGTCTTCTAGAAGTTTCCTCGTTTCGCTGGTGCAATTGTTCTGCCGGTCCCTCACTGTTTATATTTCCATCTCCACCATTTTACAAAACAATTGGTGCCTTCTGTCGCAGAGTGTGTTCGGAGATTTCCCGGTAGAATACCGAACGAAAGAAAGGGTACCATTAGAAATAGGAAAGAAGAAGCTTATATGAGTGAATTTGGCGGCAAAATATAGGTCGAGATAGACCCGTTTTCTTTAGTTCTTTGTCCAAATTTCCTTATCTCAGCCGAGTCAAGTTGATCTATTTTGTTGCTGGAAGGAATGTGCTCGACTTTATACCGCATAACTTTTTTTCTTAGAATAAAAAAAAGTAGCCAGTAATAAATGTCTAATATTAACTGCCTGCAATAAAAAAAGGAAGGTCGCTATTTATTTTATTTATTTTGTTGCTTCGAGCCTTTATTTCGTTTTCCAAATTATAAATCTTTTTATTTATTTACGCACTATCTTCGTTTTTGATGAGTATGTATGCATAGTTTTAGCATAAATGATATGACACAGAGTAGACGTGACGCAGACGTGCACATTTAAAAAAAATATTCTCGTGGGTATCACGTATTGTTTTTGGTTTCTGCTTTCTGCTAGAAGTATACTTATATCAACGCATTCGTTAAAAATATTTGGCTATGGCAATTTCCAGGATGCGTCTGTAGCAATTTATTTTTGGAGTAGTAAAATTTTCCAAAGATATTTTCTATCACGCAATTTACCTTTCTATTTGAAAGTCTTAATATTTGTTTAAAGATTTGTCACGTGATATCGCGCGAAGTCTACATTCTACTTTTGGGCCAGTCCTGTTTAAGTTTTTTTTTATTGCTTTTTAACATTCCAGGCTCTTGTGCCTCTGAGAGACTTTAGTTGAAGAAACCCCATACCAAAAGGGAAGGCGAATAACTTACATGAACTTCTATCAAACGTATTCAACATTTTTCGGTCACTAATAAAAACTATAGTGGCGAACGTATAGAGAACGCACAAGTTTCAGTGTATTACGTGTGATTAATGCTGCAGCAATGCCGTCTATTTCTCTTTGCCCATACTTAAAGATCCGACTTGCTTAGATGTAAATATTGTTTTGCCAGCTTTAATTACAGAGTGCTCCAAGTTAAAAGTAAAAATCGAGCACAATTTTGACTGTTGGTACCGCCAAAAACTGCGCGTTATAGAGGTGCTTGCGTTTTTGTGCGAACATATAAAAAACTGTTGATGGTTAGACAAGTTCTATCTTCACAGTGTACTAGTCAACCTAGGCAGATATTACATTAGGGATAATCGTCACGGTAAATTGACTAATTAGCTAAATGTGTTAAGAAACTTCTTAATTATTTGTTTTAAGTGACATTTTGTATTTTCAGTATTGGCGACAATTGGTGTTAGAGGTCAGAGTAATTAAAATAGTTTGAGAAAAGTTAATATTTTCTAAAAATATTAATGTATAAATTTACGCATTTTTTCTCTCTGCATTTTTGGAAATTTCTCTCTAAGAGAGCGCCTCAAGCCCAGCTCACAATGAGACTTGAAAGAGTGACGTAAACGTTTAAATCATATCGTCACTCTCGGCAGCGTGTCCTTGGTGGGTGCGCCTTCGAAACAAGTGACGACGTGAATGGAGGAACTAAGTGACTCTTCCAAGCGTCAATGTGGACAGGGCTTGCAACGCCCTTTTAGAGCGCAGCCCTTAGGCGCCCGTTTCCAGCTTGGGCGGCGTCAGCGCCGCCGTTGGCGTCGGCGCACCCGCGCGGTGCATGTGAGTAAACTACCCGCTAAATCTAGCGGAAAAATTCCCCACTAAATCTAGCGGAAAAATTTCCCCGCTAGATCTAGCAGAAAAATTGGCATGCTAGATCTAGCAGAAAAATTTTCCCGATAAATCTGGCGCAAACATTTTCCCGCTATATCTAGCGGAAAAATTTCCCCGCTAAACATAGCGGAAAAAGTTCCCGCTAAATCTAGCGGAAAAGTTCCCCCGCTAAATCTAGCGGAAAAATTCCGCGGCCAAATCTAGCGAAAAAATTTCTCTGGGGGTTACGTGATTCCCCCCCCCCCCCCCCCCCCCCGGGTCGCGTGACACCCCCCAGGTCATGTGACCGTTCCCCGAGGTCGCGTGGGGGGTCACGGGACCTCGGGGAGGGGTCATGTGGCCCTCCACGTGGACCCCCCCCCCCCCCTCTCGAGGTGACGCGACCTCACCAAGGTCACGTGACCTCGAGGGGGGTCACGTAACCCCCAAGGTCATGTGACTGAGGGTCACGTGCCCCGAGAGCACGTGACCCTCAGTACCGTTCCCTCCTTCTCCTCAAGAGCTGCGCTTTAATTCGACAATACAGGGAGTTGTAAAGGGCTTTCACATTTTGAGCCCTATTTCTAAATCGGACGAAAAAACGCAAACATTTTTTTCAAAATAATATGTAATAAAAAATCGATAACTTTTCGCAAAACTTTTAAATATATTTGGCCTCTAATATTAACTGCTGTCAAAACTGAAACTCTAGTATGACACATAAAACCATTATTTAAAACGCGTATTAACACATTTGAGCTCATTAATCAAATTAGCATGATTATTTTCCCCTCATCCTGTGCATGCTGAGACTGATAAATACGTGGCAGAGAGAGAACACTTCTTACGCTCAACTCCAACATAAAAATGGCTCAAATTAACATAAAATAAAATGTTCTGTATAACAGGCAGGCACTTCTTATGTGTTAAGCATAGGTCATATTTTCCAGTGAAATTTCGAATCTCCCGGTACTATATAATATTGTGTCTTTTTTTCATTTCCACTAAAATCCCGTTTTGTAATTTAAGCAATCATACTGCTGCCCGCTATTATTGCAAAAGGTATAGCGACTTTATTTCAATGCCAATGTGTCTCTTCTCAGCCTGTGTTTGATTTCTATAAGTGAAGTATTGAATGGTGAAATAATGATACATATATAACTACCACAGGTACAAAATGTAACGTTAATATTTAATGCTAACCCACACAAAAAAAATTGTCGACCTTATACCGGCAATATTATAATGAAACTTTTTAAGATAATACACGCGGTCTTGTTTTGTTTACCCACATATTTTCGCATAGTCTATATCTTCTTTTTTTGTCTACAACGAACCAGAGTGTACAACATATTCTAACACATTCTCTAGCAGCTGTAGTCTTCTTTTGCACAGAGAATTGTAAGGTTCATTGTTTCAATTTATCGAAGCAAGCTCGCCGATTCATGAATTTAGAAAAACAAATATTCATTCAAATCAATACGTGGCACGACATTACGTATACCATGACCTTCTAAACTGTTTGTTCAGTGGTCACCATGGTTGAGCTAAGACTGTTCAAGAAAAGCTATACTTGGGCTAGCGAACTTAACGGGACATTACCTGCAACGTATCTGCACTTTATTTCAAAGCATGGAATTGTTCACAAGGGGGAAGATTGCCCTATGGAGCATTTTATGTAAAAATGATTAATAGAAACCTTGTAATGCATGCCATTCTTATAGCACAAGAAATATTCATAAAATGATTTAAAGCATACCATGTTTGTATCATTATAATCAAACGCTCTAATGCGCTCTTCCCTCCATGTGCAAACAATATCCAACGGCACCTCATATCAGCACAACCGTTTTTGTTACTATTGCAAGATCAGCAAAACAATGTACACAAGCACTTGTTCGGAGTGAAACCAATATTTATTCCAATTTCACCTCAAACCAAGCTTGGCGGATTGAAGGTAGATGGCCTACCCCTTTTCAAGTTGAACAACTTCCTACATGTACCGGCTGTTTTGTATGTCCTTCTCCTCTTACCATAGTTACCGCATGCGGATGAACTCCACTGTGTATGGTGATGTTGTAGAGGAAGTTGACGGTGATATAGACCGCTTCATTTTAATTCATTTTATTAATTAGCCATTTTTAAGGGGGATGGCAGGTTGTGGCAGAAACAAAAGTACTGAATAGCACTCGAACAAGACCCCGAGCCGCATACAGGTTTCAGAGCGGCAACACAAATAAAAGCAAAAAACAAAAAAAAATCTAAACGAAAACAAGGTTGTTTCCACATTTTCACAAAGATATATTATTCATGCTTCAAAATATATTCCTTTATTCTTTTTCTGAACTTATCTAATGAATTTACTCCTTCAGCTATTTCACAGCTTGAGGATGCATCTTCAGAACCTGGGGAATTTGCTGTGTTAATGTTTGATCACCATAGCTCGTACGTGTTTGACCTCTAGCATAAAACACACGTCTTAAGTTGTAGTGAGTTTCTCTTAAGGAAATTGGGTGTGAAATGGCTCCGTGTCTGTTTTGAGACAATGAAAGATGACTTCTGTAAGGTTGAACATTATTAACTGCTGTAATTACCTTCACTGCCCAAAATTTGTTTTCAGATGTTTTTATGAGTTATAACGGTCAATTCTGAAATAAGTCATTTTATGTATGATAGATGTTTAAAATGAAGGACACTGTAATTTTTGTCTCCAATAAGGATGGCTTTACGTTATGCACAATACGAAGTAACTGAGAGTTTATTGAATTTTTGACTTAAGTTGTTAGGTGTACTCTCAGACGGCACCGCCAGAAAATGTATGATTACTTGACCAACACGTAACTCACCTGAGCGAAGGCCTTCCACCAACATGGCGAAGATTAACAGAAAAGCGAGCAGTACCGACATGCTTTTGAGTGCTCACCTTCAACCGCGACTTCTCTAAAACATAGACGCTCGCCTTGGTATGATGTTCAGTGCTACTGACACCACTATATATATATGCTCTGAAACATTCACCGATGTGGAGCAGTCAGCTCGCGGTCATGTGGATGAGGCGTCATTTGTCACTGTGATTTGTGACATTTGTCAAGACTCTAGAGCAGCTTGTCAGCTCAAGAAGCATTCTCGCCTGCCTAATAGCTTAGTCAGTCGTTGCTATGTGACAGATCGTTTGCAGACCTATGCATTACGTCATCTATTTTTTTGAAGGTGGTGGCGTCCAACGTATCAAGATCATATCAGTTGTGTAATGGCCTATGAACCTGTTTTCACGCACAGTAACCTCAATTTCCCCAAAGGTTCGCATACCGTCGTTCGGATCGCTATGACTTTGGAAACTAGTCTTGGTCATTATATTTTACTTTCCTTAACCTTAGTCTCGACATAAAATAGTTTTAAATAACAACATTTTCATGGCATTTGAAACGATGTCGGTGGCCCCGGGGGAAGCATGGGAGGAAGTAGTTTCTTGATGGAGTGCAAATGAATTTGATCGATCTGCTAAGTTTGGGTGCTTCAAACTAACAAACAGTGAATCCAAATTATCTTAAAAATCGTGTCGCTTCTTAAAACCAGGTGTCTCTGAGAAGAATCAAAAGGATTGTAGAAGATAATTTTTTTAGAGAAATATTTTTTATGTTTTATTTTACACACATGTTGCATTTCTTTTTTTTTATTTTACACGCGCAGCAAATGCAGTACAAAGTCATTTTGATGAAGGTTAACATGAGATGTTGGAAGGCAGACTTCTGCTTTATTGCGGTGATTGCAATTGAGAATTAAAAAAACAAAAGATGGAGGTAATCCGTATTGTCCTCTTTGAACTTTTTAATAATTTTAATGGGTACTTTTGTTTCGCATGCGTAATTTTGAATCAATACATGATTATACAGAGCTTTTCGCAAAGAACAGAATACATCTGACAAACGCTACTGCTTCGAGCTCACGCTCCATAATATTCAGATGATCATTCCCAATCTCTTATTATAACCCCTTAATCGGGAAAGAACAGACCCACATTTAAGGAATGTATACATATTTCCACTTTGGATGCATCTCTTAACGTAGAGCTCTTTAGAAAAAAATTACAATTTAAAATGAACATATGAATATGATATTAAATAAAAATCAACTCAATATATCAGTAATGCCTGGGCCGCTCATATTAACTCTCAATTTTGCTCCGTAACAAACTCACCGACAAAAAGAGAAGTTGCCTATACTCATCCACTTTAAACTTAGTGGAAATATCTTAACAAGGTTCACTCCGTTCAATACTAGAGCGTGTTGCTGCCATATAAACTGCCCCCCCCCCCCCAAAAAAAAACAACAACAACAACAACAAAACAACTAATACTTTTACCCAGCTTTAAATTTTTCATTACCGTGCCACGTGCTATATAGTGCCTAGATACGAGAGTGCTGAAAGCGTCATGGCAGTACAATTTAAATTTGTGCCTAAGTCTACTTACAACCTTCCGTCAACCTTGTACTCCTACGCGTCTTTCACAAACTATAGCACAATGGTACCGAAATCAGAAGGCATCTCTTGCAACACATTCGGGGTTATTCTCTTAGGCTAACTACCGCTGCCTTTCGAGGTTGCTTATGTTACTAGTGCTAGAAAGTGTAAAGGCTTCACGGACAACCAAGTTGGAGATTTAACGAGGGCCTACGGCTCTACAATTTAAGTTCATGGAGGGGGCAAGTTGGTTTACAAGAATATTCGAAAGATTTGAACAGATCTTGTGCTGCTTTTTTTTTTTTTTTGGAGTTCACCTGGAGCATTGGTGGTCGAACGTTTCATCGACATTGTAAGCGGCTGTGTTAATGAGGGCTTCGATCCTTCTTAAGCCGGAACTTCCCTGGCACGTCAAAAACTGGAGTACCGCCTGTGGGCATTTGTCATGACAGGGTCTATATCGTTTGCACGTGAATTTTTTTTTTGCTGTTGATAACCTACCTGTGCGTGAATGCATTTCGTTTTTGCAGTGATCAATTCATGTTGTTTTTGGTTTATGCTCTAGTGCAATTTGCTCAAATGATGTGAAATGTATTTATCACGTAATATCCTCCATAAAATGAAGATGAATTATCACGCTAATGAACAACAAAGAAATACAAGATTAAAGAGTCATATTTTTAGTAGTGCAATATTGTCGTGACAATTAGGTTTTCCTTCAACATGCGCACTACGTTCACTACAAATTTTTGAAAGTACAAAATTCGTACAATGTTATATATACGTTTACAGCGACCGTTTATTATGCTACACGCTATAATAAAAAAAAAAACTTAATATTTTCATAGCTTTCATTCGGGCTAGCCGGAAATGTGCTTTAATATTCATGCCCTTTCACGATATTAAAAGTTTGCTGAAAAACTCAAACAAACCCGGATGTGTGATAGGTGGTTTCAGCTCACAGATTTTTTTTCCCGGTGGCGTGCTCGCGTTGATCTGTTGAGCCACATAAATATCCCCCCCCCCCCTTTCAAAATAGTGTCCAACCTGAAAAAAAAAAAAAAAATTAAAAGACAAGCTACAAAGTTGTCACTGATTTATTCTTGTATTCTTTACGAATATAAAATTTTCCATGCGGGAAACATACTACGAATAAAAAAACATAATAATGCGCCCTTTAAAATTTAGTTTTGGGAAACCCTGCAACGCCTAAGCATTCTAGCAGCATAGTGAGGTCTTTAATATAGCATATGAGAACCCTATGGCTATAGAAAAATATAACATGCGTTAAATTAAAATTAGCACAGGTAATCTCCACAACATAATAAACCAGATACATTCTACAAACACCTATTTAAATATCAGAAGGTGAAATCAAATATATTATCAAAACACAACAACGTAAAAGAAAAAGTAAGTTCAGAATACGGTGATAATTACAAAAAACAACGGAAATTTCCTCCTAGTGTAGATGATATCTACAGGCAATTATATGCACTCATGTTTATGCTCTTGAAACATATGTAAGTTGCATTGTTGGTTTGACATTTTATTTTTAATAGTCGCTTCTGTCACTTAAAATATTTTATATGTAATTGTGATGTAAGATTTGCCTCTCTGATAGTTATTGGTTGGCGCGAATAATTCACTGCGCGAATGACGGGGAGCAAGGACGTGTGCGATTGCAGCTCTGCCCAATCTTTTGCGACACAAACATATTTGCACTGTGCGTCATGTTCTCGATGGTTCCACTGCAAGTGCCTAGATATTCAGGCAGCACAATACGACATCTTGATGCAGTCTAAAAAAGCAGTTGCAAGTGCAGGGATTGTTCAAGGCGCACAAATCCTTCTGCGACGAGGCTTATAGGCGCTGAGATTGATGGCGGGGCTACACCGAACACAACGAACGCGGAATTGAAGAACGGCGGAAGCGACAACGGTGAATCGACACAGGCAAGGATTTCTTCGTAAATCCTTTGTCTGCTCGTGGGGCTTTCATCTCGGCTTGAAATTTTGGCGACTGAGGTTGAGCTGCTACGCGCAGACAACAGAGTACTACGAGTGGAAGTCTCCCAGCTTTCCCAAGCAGTTGTGAACGAGACCATGGCGGGGGCTCCGAAGAACTCGTCATCCCAGGCTGTGGGTTAACTGCGCCGTCCTACGTTTCTGTTGCTCTGAGTGCCCGACCCAAGTCTCCGACTCAACGAAAACGTCATGATGTTCCTGTAAATACCACAGCTCGTGGAATATCGTCATCATCTGCACATCCTGGCAACGGCAACGCTGTGGACGCTGAGGGATTGAAGACTGTCGCAAGGAAAAAAAAGACCCAGGTCTGCCGAGGGAAAGAACGCCGGCAGCAAGCTGAGCTCTGTGCCACGGCAAGCCAGACGCCGAGGGCTCTTCGTCTCCCGGCTGGATCCTCAAAAAACGGAAGCTGACATTACGGAATTCCTGGCAAGTGTTCTGAGAGACAAGTCAGTGACGTGCACCTAGCTTGTAACAAAATACGATAGCTATGCCTCCTTTCACATGGCTGTCGAGAAAGACGACTTTGACAATATCAATGTGCCTGACATTTCACAAACCGCATGCCTTTTTCTCCCTTTTTTGGCATCCTTGGATTCACGTTGGGGACAGTGGTCAATGTAGATACTTATCCTTTTAACCTTCTACTATGGAATGCACGCTTTACTACCAGAACGTTCGCGGCGTTAGAACAAAGTCCTCCGAGTTTATGTCGGAAATTATAGGCAATCCATACACGATTTCTTGCCTTACTGAAACTTGGCTAGAGGACGATATTACTAGCTCTCAATATTTTTCTTCATCATATACAGTATTTCGGAAACACCTTGATTATGCCATTACGGGGCAGAAATATGGAGGAGGTGTATTAACAGCCGTGAACGCGTCACTGTGTGCATGTAGAAGATATGACCTAAAGACTTACTCGGAATGTGTATGGGTTGAAGTTACGTCCCGTGACGGGCTGAATTATCTAATACGGACCTATTACTTGCCACCACACTCTGACTCAGAGGCTTTTGCACGTCATTTTCAAAATCTACGACAACAGCTTGATATGACGAAGTTCCGTGTTCAGATATATGGGGATTGTAGTCTACCAAAAATTGACTGGCTGGCAGGTTATGACTCGATGGCGATCAAGGTCACCCGCTTGAAAGTATCGAGCTTGTTAGATTTTATTTATTTTAACGAAATTTTACAACGCAATATTATCCAGAATTCAGTGGGAAATCTACTTTACCTTGTTTTAGTTTCCGGGCCAATTGTTTGTATCTTTCCAGTTGTGGACCCCTTAACACGTGTTGATAATTTCTATCCACCTTTCCTTGCGTCCTTTCTCTTTCCGCTGCATCAACGAGGCTCTCGCAGACAGGAATATATTATGTACAGTGAAGGAGATTACCTTAATATGT